GCTACCTGCTGAATCAGCCCTCTGTCTCCCAACGCAGAAATGGAAGAGGGATGAGGGGAGAGAGGATAAAAAAGGGGTGCCAGACAGATGAGACTCCATGACGGCCTTGACCACGTTGAACGAGGCGTCTGTGATCTCCAGCCTGCCCGGACTCACTGCTGCTGCCTTCTCAAGTTCAAACTTGAACCTCTGCACATGCAGAGGTAAACACTTTCGCTTCCTCAAGCTCACTTGAACCTTCTGCTCACTCGAAAAGTGTATGGAAGGATGGAAGTAAGACATGGTGCTTTCATTGGTTTTCAGACTGTAGATTGTCACTGGTGCTGGCCAACGTGGATCGCGAAGCCATGTGTCGTCACTCGGAGCGAGCAAAAAAAGGCAAAGGGGGGGGTCGTAAGAGGATGCCAAAAGGGTCAAAAGTGGCCCATACAGGTCTCGAACCTGTGACCTTCGCGTTATTAGCACGACGCTCTAACCAGCTGAGCTAATAGGCCCGTTTCTGCAATTACCACCATGCAAATTCGTCCTTACACCTTAGTTTTACCCTCCGCCCACACCTCCACCAGCTCATGCCCCCCGCACCTCACTGCATCTCACCGCACTTCACCGCACTGCACCTCATCTCACCTTAGAATGCACCACCAGCAGCATCTTCAGCACGTCCAGATGCTTCCCCTCCGCCCACACCTCCACCAGCTCATGCCCCTCCCCGCCTCACCACACCTCACCGCACTTCACCGCATCTCACCTTAGACTGCACCACCAGCAGCATCTTCAACACATCAATGTGTTTCCCCTCCGCCCACACCTCCACCAGCTCATGTCCCCCGCTGCCGAAAACTGCTGCCCAGCCGTCCGCTACAGCCGGCAGCTGCGCCGGCCCCGGCCCGTGGAACGGGTGACCTGCCAGCTCAGCAACTGTCGTTTCAGCAAGAAGGTCCAACATGGCATCCCAGTGGCGGTAGTCCCAGCCTTTCAGATACAGGCTGGACTTGAGCTCCAGTGCCACCTGTGGATGGAGAGTGGTTGAGAGTGGTAAGGAGTGGTGAAGAGCGGTGAATAGGGATAACAACACGTAGTATTGAGTCAGCAAGCAGGTCCAGCATGGCATCCCAATGGCGGTAGTCCCAGCCTTTTAGATACAGGCTGGACTTCAGTTCCAGTGCCAACTGTGGGTGCACAGGGGTGGACAGTGATGAGGAGTGATGATGAGCGGTGAAGAGGGATGACAGCACATGGTATTGAGTCAGTAAGCAGGTCCAGCATGGCATCCCAGTGGCGGTAGTCCCAGCCCTTCAAGTACAGGCTGGAACTAAACTTCCCAATGCCACCTGTGGAGAGTGGTGGAGAGCGATAAATCATGGTGAAATGAAAAGCGGTGGAATATACACGCAATACCAACATGGCGTCCCAGTGGCGGTGGACCAATGCTTTAAGGTAGAAACAGAGGCGCATGGTTCGAAAATTATGGTATACCCCCATGACACTCACCAACAGAGGCGTCTGCTGGCAACTTTGAAAAACAGCTGGCAAAGCATCTCACCAGCAGAGGCGTCTTGTTGGCCACTGACACCTTGCGAGTCTCGTCCTTCCTCCCCGCCGCCATGCCTCTCGGGCTCCTGGGGCTGCCAGGGCTCCCTGAAGGCGACTCGTGTTTGAGGTAGCACAGCTTGCTGGCAGCGGGGGAGTCCACGGCTCGAACGGTGACCTTGGCGCCGTGGTCGATGAGAAGCTTCGCCATGCTGACGCTGCGGGACGATTCGAAGTTGTACACGGCAACGAAGATAGCCGTTACTCCCTGGTTGGGGGAGCGGGGGGTACATACAGAAGGGAGAGGGCAGAGAGGAGGGGGATCGCCGTGACCCTGGCGCCATGGTCTGTGAGCAGCTTCGCCATGCTCACGCTCCGGGATGACTCGAAGTTGTACACGGCAACAAAGATAGCTGTCACGCCCTGGTTGAAGGGGGGATGTGAAGAAGAGGAAGGGGTAAAAGGGGCGGCTTAATGGAGACCTTGGCCGTTTGAGCACTCTCAAACGCCATTCCGTGGCCTATGAGCAGCTTTGCCATTTCGCGAGTATTGAGGAGAATTCTACGTTGCAAGAACGCAGCCACACCCACCCTCCCTCCTCGCTCTTCCTCTCTCCCTTCACTCCCTCCTCTCCCTCCATCGCTTCCGCGCACCTGTCCGTTGTACTCGTTAATGTCAAGCTTCCTATGCTTCAGAAGCGCCGCGACGCCATCCACGTTCCCCGCAGCGACGGCGCTGAAGAACGCGCCCTGGTCCAGCGGATTAAGGAGCTCGCCAGGGTCGTCGTAGAGACCTAAGGCGCGACTCGACTCCTGCTGCATGGAAGCGGGTTTCGACCCCGAGTCTAGCGAAAGGCTGCGAAAACTGTGGTGTGCAGACGCCATGTGGTTACCACCAAGTCTAGCGAAATGCTGAGCTACGTGTGTTATGTCTCTCACGAGTTACTAGCCTACTCAAACTGAGGCGAAGAGATGAAATATGACAAATAATCAGAAGCCTGCTCTAGGACTGTCCTTAGTTCGCGTATCAACGTGTATCTCCAGAGCCTGGTAGTACTAAAACCGTCGCAGATTAAGATTATCTTGAAGAAAATCACGCACAAGACCTTGTTGAATCGATGAGAGAACTCGTTAGGTTTCGTCACGCTTCAACTGTTCCTCCTGTATCCCCTCCTCCCTCTCATAAATCCTCTCGAACTGACTGACTGGCCTCGCAAAACATCTCCACGTGCTCCTGCTGCTCGTTCCCTCCCTTGCTCCAGTTACGCCAGAGCCGAATCACCGAAAGCATCTCTAAAATCCGAGCGTCCCAAATGATTTGCTTCATTCGCTTGACAAAGAGGAAACTTCCCTCTTGACAGCACAACGCTCCCCACTAATATTCGCGACACTACGTCGCACTGCGCGCCGCTGCGGCAAAATGCGTTGTCGCGCTGATGTTACTGCCACGGTGGATGGCGTCACGGTGTCATCATGCTTCGACGAGCGCGTCGCATCATGATGTCACGAGAGATCGTGAAGTGAACGGCTGGGATCGAATTACATCCACATGCCGTTTTCTTGTTATTCGGGCTTTCCTGTGAACCCAAGAGCCATGGCCGAAGCATGGCATGTTGAAAATGGAGTTGTCTAGGCTTCACCCCATGGCTCGAACGCGCTGCGGTCTGCCTAGGGAATGCACGGTTTCAGGGTTCCACCACGCCAGCAGCAGCAGCAGCTCCGCTTTCGTGTAGGTGACGTGATGTCTTGTGCTGACCTGGTTTGGGCTTTCCTCCACACCACCGAGCATAGCTTTTGCCGAGGTGACATGCAAGAGTCGTGTTGAAAGGGGTTCCCACCAGGGCCGCACGCGGATGCACTGCCTGTCGCGACCCCCAGCTGGGAGCTGCACGCGAGAGGGAGTCCCCCGCCCGCATGCAAGTCCCTAGCGAGATACGGGCGGCGGAGAAAGCTGGCGGGGTGGTCCCGCGCCGAGCCCCCTCCACGCCAGCGCCACGCAGTGTGGTCCCAACCCCGGGCCCCCCCGGGCCCAGCCCTGACTCGCGAAAACCCTCGCGAAACCCCTCGCTCTCCAATCCGAGGGCGAGTGTCGAACCCCAGCGCGCCGAAACGGATCCGGCCAATCGGAGCCGTTTCCGAGTGATTTGAGCGTCGGAGAACCCTCGCGAAACATCTCGCATGCAAATCCGCGCGTGCGAAGGGAATTTCGAGCTGGCCGTGACGGATTCGGCCAATGGGAGCCGGTTTCCGAGCGACGAAGCGTGTGCGAAACGAACCCCGGGCCGCCCGAAACGGAACCGGCCAATCGCTCTCGTTCTCGAGCGTCGGAATCCTCGCACGAGCTTCGCGGAAAAAAAACCCCCCACTCGCATACAGCGTGCGACGAGTCGCATGCGTGCGACGAAACAATCTTTCCTCGCGTGATCGTTTTCCCTCGGTACACATTAGTAGTAACAATAATAAATTGTACAGTGGCCAGTGCATGTCTTCATGTAATATAATATTCTGAAATACACTCATATAATAGAGTGTAACACACGCGCGGACTAAATGACACTTGGCGGACGTGGTTACACACGCGTGCATGCGGCGGAACCTCCCCCCTTGACACGTCCGAAGCGGTGCGGGCTCGCATGCACGCTCAGGTGGACCGCGAGTACCCCATTTTGATGGCTCCTCGTCCTCCTCTTATGTTCACGGTGAGGGCGGGTGGTGCTCATTTTCTTCCTCCGTCTTCATTTCTTCTTCTTTAACCGTCCCTCTCCCCCCATCAACCCAGCATAGTGCTAGAGCTCGTGTTAGCTCCGTTCCCTCCAGCCCGCGTTCGCGATCACTCTCGTTCCGTAGTCGTTGCTGTCGCGAGAGAACTTGTTGCCCGCGGTTCCTCATAGTTCCCCCTCATCTGTTCGCGCTCGAATAGTGCTACCTGTCATGGCTCGCGAGTTGAAGGCGCTGAGATCTGGTAACAAGGAGGCCGCATCTTTTCCGGCTGTCATCTCCGTTGCGGGAGCTAATGTGGAGCTTGCACCCGAACAGTGGAAACAGCTTGGCGAGGAGAAGCAGCCGTTCACGGCGCGATTGTTCGACTTTGCCGTTTGGTGAGATATCGCCAAACCATGTTGTGTTTCTCGTGCGAACGCGTACTTTGGTGCCCGCGGTGCATTCAGCTTGCTAACAAGATCACCCCGTACCCAACAGCACGATTGTACGGAGGTTTCTGGTTCAAGAGGCGGAGGCGCGCGTCCGGATCTTGACGAGCAACGTGGTCGCGGATATAGTGTCGGGTCGCGATGACGCGGTCGACACCTTTGCCGGTCTGATGGAGTGCAGTATGGTTGCTTTTTGCATCTGGTCCGAGTGAGTATTCACTGCACGTTTGAACATCGTGCTGCCCGCGTTTAGTAAGGATTAACGCGGTCAACTCATGCCCCGTGCAGTAACTTGGTAGACAAGAAGACCTCGAACGCGAGCATGCTCCTTCTCCTTCGCCCGGACCACCTGTCGGTTGACGGTGACGAGAAATGGAACACGCGGTTCGTTCGCGTTGCTATCCCCTCTGGTGGTGCGGAACACATCACCGCGTCGGAGGCGCTTGTAGAGTGAGTTTCGCGTTCACGTGTATGCTGCTTGTCATTTCCTGTTCCGCTGCTAGAGTCAGGTTATCAAACCGTTCGCGTTCGCGTGAATGTCTGTACGATTCGCAGGTAGTTTCAGGGTCGCGTTGACGAGAACTTCGCGCGCGGCTCCATTCATTGCACGCGGTCCCGCCAGCTTAAAGATCCCACTCGTCTGTTCGATCTGGTATGCATTTGTTGTGTACGCGTTCGTGATTACCGCGAAATCTAGCAACGGTGTTAACAAAATAATGTGCTGTTTTCCAGGACGCGGCGTCATTGAAGGGCGCATGCGGCAACCTCGCTTGTCTGTTCGCGTTCGACAAGATCGTTACCCAACTGGACGCGGTGGCTGCCAGTGGATCCGGACCGCAATATCCGAGGCCCAACGCGAAGATTCTGAATGCACTGAGGCATGAGGCGTACCGAACCGCCGAAGAGCTCGCGTTCAACATGGTCGCGGATGTGCCGAGACCCAAGCACGGCGGTGAGGCTGACGGGGTTGAACCGGGGAAGGTGCAAAAGGTGGCAACGGGTGAGCAGGTTGCTGATCATGGTGTTTTCGCTCTCACAGGTGCCGCTGGTGTATCGAACCGCGGAGGCACTCGGGGGGGGGGTCGGTGGTCCACGCTGATGACGAAGGGGCAGAGGACACCGCGGCTAAGGGTGCACCCCTCGTTGAGGCAGACCGCGATGCAGAGCGTGAGGGGGAGGAGTCGAGCGAGGAGGAGGCGGAGGCTGGTGTGGTCGCGGCCGCGGCAGCAAGCAAGCCCACGACGTCCGGCAAGAGCATCAGGCATCTCGCGCAACACTTGGCCCCCGGTGCTGGAAGCGCGGGCCCGAGCGGTGAGGTCGCAGGCAAGAGTCCCGTGCGTGGGGCGCGTGATCACACGTCCCTGTCCGCGTTGCCATCGCATAAGCTTGCAGCCGAGATCATGCAGCTCGACTGCAGGCTTGCAGCGCAGGAGGAAGAAATCGCACGGCTGAAGCAACGTCCGGAGTCGGGGGTTACTGGTTTCGCGTAGTGGGCAACGAGGAGCTCGCGTCCGCGCTTTCTAATGCGATTCGGGCCTTGGAGAAGGAGGGGAGGGCGATCGCGCGGGAAAGGGCTGCTCTGGTCGACACGCGTAACCAGGAGGCGCTGGTGCTGGGGCGAGTGGACGCGAGGTTGGGACAGTTGCAGGGGGTGGTGGCAGACTCCATGGAAACCGCTCAGAAGAAGCTGACGGACGAGGTTGTGCGGAAGATCGACAACATGTCGACCGCGATCTCCACGACAGCAGAGCGGGCAATCACAAACAGCGGGGTCACGAACGCGCTTCACACGCTCATCGCGCTCGTTGGTGGAAGCCCGCCGCCGCGCACGGATGTTGAAGAACCGGCCGCGACGGAGATTGCCGAGCCCGGGGATGCAGAGCATGGAAAGCGGGCAGCGGGTGCGAAGGCGGAGAATCAGCGGGGGGCGAAGAGGCAGAGAGGTCCCCAGGCAGCGGCCGCGGTGCGCAATCCGAGCGTGCAGGACATACTGAAGCATAAGTGGGGCGCTGCATCGCGAGGTGCAGCACCGCCTGGTCAACCGGGTTCGAGCTCGCGCTCCATCCCACCTGCAGAAGCTGCACCCAAACCACCGGCCCCTGCCGGGGCAACCGCGACAATGACAACTACTGTGGGTAAGGGCAAGGGTAAGGCGGAGGATGGAGAGGCGCCGGCTGCTGCGGGTTCGCTGGCGACAATGCCTTCTTCGCCCCATCATGAACGAGCCGAACCGGCCCTCGCCCTGAATGGGGAAGAGAGCAAGGGAGCAGGGAGGAGGGCAGGGAGGAGAGAAGGGAGGAGAGAAGCAGCGACATATGCTGATGGTGGCGGAGGAGGGGGGGCCTCCTTCTTCCGCCCCATCATGAAAGAACCGAACCGGCCCTCGCCCTGAATGGGGAGGAGAGGAAGGGAGCAGGGAGGGAGCGAGGAGGGAGTGAGAGAACATCAGGCAACGGGCCCCACCAAGGCATGATGCCTCCTTTTTCCGCCCCATGTTTGGCGTGAACAAGCCGAATTGACCCTCGCCCTGAGTGGAAAAGAGAGGCGGAGAGCAGGGAGAGAGAAGAGGGAGCAAGGAGGAGCGGAGGGGGAGAAGAGGGAACATCAGGAGGTCAAAGACGAGAACCAACACACCACACCTCCTTTCTCCAAGAAGACACCAACTCCCCACCCCATGCACCCTGATTTCCTCATAGCTCTCCCATCTCCCCTTTCTCACTTTGGATTTGAGTCGAATTAAGAGTCAGCTTTGTCCAAGAACACCAACTCCCCATGCACCCTGCGTATGAGTCGACTTTGATGAGTCTATTTTTGAGTCGACTTAAAACTAGTCCCAAGAAGACACCAGCTCCCCATGCACCCTGCTTTCCTCATAGCTCTCCCCTCTCCCCTCACTCACCGCTCTGGATGCAGACTTCCTCGCATTCGTCATCTCTTTAAACAGCGTCTCCTGCCGCTTGTACTCCGCCTCTATGAAGTGCGTCGCAGGGATGAAGACCCTCTCCATGTCCACCAGCGCCGTCACCATCACCTTCGCCTCTGCCCTGTACTCATCTAAGGCTGCTGAGGCAATGGCCACTAGCTGCAGTGGAAATGAGGTGGGCATGGGGGGTTGTAGGGGTCCGGGGAAGGGGAGTGAAGGGCTGGGATATGGGAGATCCAATGTGGAGTTTTTGTGTTTGGAGGGTTGGAGGAAGTGGGCAGAGCACGGCAAAGGGGAGAGGGGACAGGATACGAGCAATTTACGCATTGCAAACATCACATGGCATGGCGTGACATGGCATGGCATGGTATAGCATGGCACGGCTTGTCAAGGTATGGCAAGCATGGCATGGCATGGCTTGATGACGGACCTCTTTCTTCATGGGAGGGAAGCGGACTAGTGATGGAGCCGTGGACGCTGCTGCAACAACGATGTCTAACAGGATTTTGTGCACCTGAACTCAGACAAGGAGGGTAAAAAAAAGACGAAGATGGAGGATACGAAGGACGACAAGGCCTGAGGCCTGATGCTGCTGCAACAACGATGTCTAACAGAATCTTGTGCACCTGGAAAGGGCATAAGATGGTAAAAGAAATTCAAAAGATATTCAATTTAATATTCAGCATATGCGTACGTTGCACGCTTCCCCCCCCCACCCTGCTTAGCGAGGTTGAGGCTGCGCCTGATGAACAGACGAAGACCGCTTGCTGGAGCTACCAGCTACCTCCCCCACCTCAACCACACAATCTGCCCTGTGATGAGATATCCCTCCCACCTCACCCACTTGCCAACGTCCCAACTCACCCAAGTCATCACACCCTTCCCCACCTCATCCACACAGTCCAGCCCCGGCTGCTTGGCCAGGTTGAGGCTGCGATTGATGAGCAGACACAGACCCTTCATCATCCCACAATCTCCCCTACCCTGCTCTCAGCCTCACTCCCCCTCTCTCACTCACCTCATCCACGCAGTCCAGCCCCGGCTGCTTGGCCAGGTTGAGGCTGCGCTTGATCAGCAGACGCAGACCCTTCTCCGGGGAGATGACGTACGGCTGGTACCCGTCCGCTTCTGCTACCACCTGGTTGGTGGGTGGGTGGATGGGTGGGTGGGTGGGTAGATAAGGTGGTTAGTTAGGGGGTTGGGAGGATTGGAAGTGTGATGGTTGGGTGGGTTCGATGAGGCCAGGTTGAGGCTGGGCTTGATGAGCAGACGCAGACCCTTCTCTGGGGAGATCACATATGGCTGGTACCCGTCCGCCTCCGCCACCACCTGGTTAAGGAGTTGGTTAAGTTGGTGGGTTGGTCGGATGGGAGGGAGTATTTATATTACAATTCTAAACGAGGACACCGACCCTTCTCCGGGGAAATGACGTATGGCTGGTACCCGTCCGCCTCCGCCACCACCTGAGGAGTTGGGATGTCGATCGGGTGGGTGGGATGGTTGGGTGGGTGAGGTGATGGCGCCGTTCCTCAGCATGTTAAAGGAAGACGCAGACCCTTCTCTGGGGAGATGACGTATGGCTGGTACCCGTCCGCCTCCGCCACCACCTGGGGATTGTTTGGTTGGGTGGATGGGTGGATGGGTGCACAACGGTGGACAGTGATGGACAACGGTTAAAAAGGAGGGGCAGTTCAGAGGGGTGAAGCTTGCAAGTGCAGGATGGAGAGGAGGAAGGAGAAGGAGGAGGGACGAGGTAAATGCAGGGATAGCAAGAGGTGACGAATGGAAGGAAGGAGTCAAATTTGAGATCCTCTTATGCTGCCCGGCTGACCTTTTTCACGTTGTCAAAGTTGAACATCTCGTCCAATGGCAGGCCTCGGAATCGCAGGGGCAGCGTCCCGACAAACTTTTCAACCATCTGAGAGCCTCCGCCCTGAAAAAAAAAAAATGTGCAAACGGATAAACGATTTTTGATTTGACTCAATAGAGTCTCTATCCTGAAAGTTGCCGAGCAAGTGAGCAGAAAGCGTTTTGACTCCACACCACGAAATGAACCTCAAGACCCACAGCTTGATTCAACCATGTGTTGTGTGCATGCCGCAGACAATGGAGAAATTCGATGACTGGAAGAACCAACCAGGGGACGGCTTAAAAAGGCAAGACTTTTTCAGTAGTGTTTTATTACTCGTTTTGCTTTGTTTGTTTGTTTGTTTTAGGGTGTTATAATACTAATAATAATAATAACAACAATATATATACATTTATATATATTATTACAGTTGTTACTCACCTCACAGCCATCCAGGTGTTCAATGAAGCGCGTCTCGAAGCCCCGGCATAGCTCCAGAGCCACGGCCCTGGAACCCTGCAAGTCGGATATGAGGGACTCGCCCAGGCGCAGCAGCTCTGACTCCACGTCCACTGACCGCGACTCCAGGCTGTGGGGAGGAGAGAGAGGTGTGGAGTGGGACTTCTCCTTCATCTGCCTCCTCATCGTCCTGGCAATCAGTTTGACGTTCTAGTCAACTCAGAAATTACCCACAGACCTCCCAGTACCCCACCCACCCACCCACCACCCCACCCACACCCACCCGGCCATGATCCTGGGGATCTTCTCCTTCATCTGCCGCTGCATGGTCCGCGCAATCATCCGCAGCAGCGCATCTCGTCCCATGGACTCCTCCATGCCCCATGCGTCCTAGGGGCTGCCCCCACCCACCCCAACCTACTCCCACCCACCAACCACAACCCACCCGGCCATGATCCGGGGAATCTTCTCCTTCATCTGCCTTCGCATCGTCCTGGCAATCATGCGCAGCAGCGCATCTCGCCCCATGGACCCCTCCATGCCCTTCACGCCCAGCGCCCGCATCACACTCGCCAGGGCCTTCTGCTCGCCCGCCCACGCCTCGTCCATCGGTGCATCTGTGTCCGCGTCCCCCAGGGGCTGCCCCAGCACCGGCACCCACGGGTAGTCCTGTGCCATCGCCGCGCCCTGCCCCTGGAGGAGTTCTAATGCGAGCTTCGCGGCTGCCTTGTCTGTTACGACACGATCGAACTGCGTTATCACGCCTATGCTGCGCGCTCCTGGGGGGGAAGAGGGAGGGAAGGGGGGGAAGGTTGGGCGGGGGGCAAGGAAACAATGATATGGGTGGAGGGAGAGAGAGGGGTGGGTGGGTGGGGAGAAGAGAGCGAGAAGATATGAGGAGAGGGGGAGGAGAAAAAAGGAGGGGAATTCTGACTGACCATGCTAGAGCGGACCTACCATCGCGGTCGATGTCATGTGCCAAGCGCAGCAGCTTGAGCGAGTCCTTGACGCGCGTGGCAGCGATGACCACGAGGAGCAGCAGCAGTAGCTTCACCATGCTAGATCACACTTGCCATGTGAGCGAGTGACCATGCAATAAAACAGGCGTACCATCGCGGTCGATGTCATGAGCCAAGCGCAGCAGCTTGAGCGAGTCCTTGACGCGCGTGGCAGCGATGACCACGAGGATGATAGCGCCCTGATTCGCCACGTTGTCTTGCAGCTGGAGTGGAGGCAGAGTGGGACGAGTAGTAATGGGAGAAGGATGCATGACGGAACGAAGCATGGCATGAGCAATGTTAAAATGCAGCGATGGCCACGAGGATGATGGCGTCCTGATTCGCCACGCTGTCTTGCAGCTGGGGGCCATGCCAATGTGACAGACCCACAAGTCGGGAGATGAGAGGAAAAAAGAGCATGAAAGAAGAAATTAATATTTCTAGCATTCTCAAACGCAGCGATGACCACGAGGATGATGGCGCCCTGATTCGCCACGTTGTCTTGCAGCTGGGGAGGCAAAGTGGGAGAGACGCCCATGCGGGGGGAGCGGAGGGGAGGGGAGAAGAAAGCATGACGGGGTATGAGATGCACCAAGGCAGAGACGCAGTACAACGTGGCGTAGAAAGCCCTGTGTTCAACCGCCATGTGAAACCCTGGGAGCAATGTGGGTGGGAGTCTGGCATCAGCAGCCACAAGAGCACCGACTGACTTTATCATCGTCAGAACGGGTGCTGCTGCTGCCAATGAATTCAGACCACCCAAGGGAACCACTGCTGCTGCAGCAGCAGCTGCAGCAGCAGCCGCCCCAATTCATGTTGGCACAGCTCACGACTGACGTCATTTGAAAGGAAAAGCTCCCAATCCCAACGCTGCAAGCAGAAGTGTGCCAGCGGGACGAGGTTGCGAGAGAAGTGAAAGGATGACGAGACCAGGGGACTCACAATCCGCGGACTACTAGCATATTCCGTCTCCTTCGTAAGAAACGAAATTGATCGAAAACAAAACAAAGCGCAGAAAGGAACTCACGGTGCCATCAAGGTCTGATGACCGCTCAACTCCAGGAAGATCCGTCACACGGATTGGAGGCGCTGCAGGGGGGAGGGGGGAGAGGGGAAGAGAAAAAGATGAGCAGACAAACCTAAGGAGGAGCGACTATGGGCAATGGCTGGCATGAGAGACAAGAAAACACAACTGCGGAAGCAGAATAGTGAGAGGGTTGGAGCATGTGGAAGAAAGAACTTAGCAAAGGAAAGAGAGAGGACAAGGGAGTCAAGGCAGGTAAATCTTTGAGGCAGTAATTAAAAAAAGACACCAAGCAAAGAAAAGAGAGAGGACAAGCGTATGGGAGAAGGAAAAAAAGGGCAAAGGAGGACCCAAGCAGGGTGAGAGTGCAGTTAAGGGACTATCAGTTTGGACTGACCGATTGGCGAGCGGAGGATGAGGTGTGCCTCCTGGCGGTTCCTTGACTTGGACTTTGCCTGCCCCATGTCCGCCAGCAGTGCCTGCCGCACCTCCGCTGGTGGTGGTGGTGAGACACACACACGCACGCACACAAAGACAACACACACACACACAAAGAGCGAGGCACAGGTGGACGCGGGAAAAAGGCAGAGTCAGATGGGTGGTGGTTAATAATTCACTCGAGGATCTGTGGTCTTCCTGTGGCGGACGATGCTGCGAGTGCGAATGGTGACATACACACAGATAGAGAGCTGGGGAGTTGTATTAAAGGATAAGTGGGAGAGGAAGAAAAACCCCAGGTCGTTCCACTCACAGGGTTTCCGCATGTTGGCTCGTGGTCCGAGACTCGCTCGGATGCTGCCTACCCCCAGGTTGGGGTCCCTTTGTAGATCGACCAGAACAGGAAAGCGTGTGGCTCCACCCTCAGCCGTTGGCTGCAATCAGGCACGCAGGCAGCAAGAAATGATTTTCAAGTCGAGAAACAAATTCAACCTGAGGTTGGGTCCCGTTGTCGTGAGATGTCACAACGACCAGGCTGAACTGAATTGAAGTGAACTTGTGACACGACTGAATGGAATTATAGCAACTGCGGTGTATAGTGACTTACAAGAACGGCATGACCAATGAGGGTGTTGAGAACGGCAGATTTTCCGGCGCCCTGGAAAGATGCAAGTGTGTTGGGGACGAAAATGGCAGGTAAACTGATCTAATATGTGCAGTGTGGTGAGGCGATCGGGATTCAGGTCACACCGTTTACCTCCAGCGCGAGGGGTAGCGCGAGGGGTAGCGCGAGGGGTAGCTTGAGAAACGGAGCGAAAGTACCGTATAGATGACATCAAACACTAACTGATTACCACACGTTGTATTTTGAGCCGCCTATAGAAGAGCTGATCGCACACGCTAATCAATTACGAGGACGATTAAATGGTATGAGAAAAGCTCGCGGGGAAAAGTACGAAAGAAGTTTTTACGTAAATGTCACGGCACAAACGAAGCTTTTGGAAAGGGAACGGAGACGAGACGGACGAAACTGACTAAGAAGGCGTGGAACTGACTGAAAAGGCACGGAACTGAACGGAGCACCGAGCACGACGAGCTGGGTGACGGGCGAAGAGGCTTTTGAGTCGACCCAATTTCACGTTGACTCAAAAGTCACCTCGTTGAAAAGGCACGGAACTGACTGCGAAGGCACGGAACTGACCGGAGCACCGAGAACGACGAGCTGGATGACGGGCGAGGAGGAGGCGCTGCTGGAGCGCGAATCGTCGGGGTCCGGAAGGTCATCGCCGACGAGCGCTGACGACGCCTGCTGAAGCGTCTCGCCTAACGAGATCAGATCGTCCATGGCTGCGCGCGACGGTGGAGTCTATTAGACGCAATGACAGCGCTTGAGGAGTCGACGGACTGGATTCACCCGAGAGCCCTCGCCTGGATCGGAGGCATGAAGTACTCGTATGTCTATTCGAGACGCTTTTAGTCGAACGAATAATCCAAACGAGCACACTAAAGATTACGGAGAACCGTGTCCAGATAAGGAGAGACAATAAGTACGTAAATTCCTATTGCGATGCCAGACGAGCCTTGGAGTGGCAGAACCAGACTCCAAGAAGGAGCTTTCACTGACACAAGCTACTACCACCGGTTCTGCCGAATGCCCCGATTGAACCCGTCTGGAGGAATCTAGGATGCATATTGTGCACTTGATCGTGGGAGTGTTTCATGAGAGTTCCCTCCAGTGTGGTTTGGTGAGATGCTTTGCGCGGCAAAGCGACATAGTTTTGTTGTAGCACGGTTGGGAAGGGTTTTGAGGGAATCTGGGCTTTCGGTACGCAGTTCAATTTGCTGCTGATATCCACGCTTGGCTGTGTTGGGCAGGAGGGACAGCGCAAGGAGCAAGGTGGGGGGAGAAGCGCACTCGCGGGAAAAGGGCACTCTTCGATAAAAAAAAAATGTGAAAAAATGCGTAGCAGAATGCTGAAATGGATTGGCATATCGACAGAGTGAGAACAATTACGTATATTGACGATTATATAAAGCCTATTTCTGCTCTCCGAAACGGGCTCATACGCGATACAGTACTGCTACTACTGTTGCGGGCGGAATCGGTCTATCGAGCAACCTCCTAGAAACTGTCATTCCCGCTAACAGCCTGACAGGGGCGCCGAGATTTCCCCCCTCCCCACAGTCCACCCCCAGCGGGAAAAGAGCGGCGGGATAGCAGACTTTCTCTCGGTGGGGTGCGGCGCAACGAATTTGTGATTCATCAGCCGCGCTTTTCCGGAAGTTCCAGTTCCATCCAACTCCAAGGTCCTGTTCGGCAGGCAGGAAGAGCAGGAGGACGGAGAAGGATCAGCTGAAACCAAATCCCGAGAGAAACTGCACTGGGCACTTTCATTTGACGAAGGCAGCGCATACACAGATCACACACGGCACTCGCCATCACCGTGGCAGCAGATCGACATACGCGCAGCTTCACGTGGGCTTGTCGGTCCTCTGTGTAGTTTCCCTGAAGCGGATTCGACGCTATCTTCTTCCATTTTCCGCTTTCAACCCCTCTTGTTCCGACAAAATAGTCAGCGTCTCGTTTCTGAGTCGATACCTATTTAGCATCGGCAAATTTCAGGAACCACGACTCGGACTTACAGCGTTATTCTTTTTCTAATTACGTGGTTGTCGGAAATAAGGACACATGGATAATCTGATAGGTCTCGTGAATCGGCTTCAGCAGGCGTGCACGGTGTTAGGAGACTATGGCGTGTCGAGCGCCGAAGACGCGCTTCCGACGCTATGGGAGCAGCTTCCGTCGGTGGCTGTGGTGGGAGGTCAGGTGAGGCGAATAGTAGTCACGCGCGTCGGATAGATTTTCGAAATGAGGTCACGCGAAACTGATAAATTCGCATCAAATACATAACGCTTGGGGTTTGGAATCATATGTATGACCGTCCGGTAGTAGCGCTGCACCAAGCGTAGAGTGTCTTGGTTCAGAATTATATTAGAATGAATATGCTTCTTTCGCGAACATATTCTGGCGCATTTCTTAAAACGACTCGTCCCATGTCGGCGTCTGTCAACCTGAAGCCTGTGTAACGGTTTGCTAATTCTGATGCTGAGTCTGATGCATAGCGGTGCCGAGTTTTGCGTGACTCAAAGCAACCTTATTATGCCTCCGTTTGCCTTTTCCATCCCGTTCCCATCACGTGGCAGAGTTCGGGCAAATCGTCGGTGCTAGAGAGCATTGTGGGGAAGGATTTCCTTCCTCGAGGATCAGGTATATCTGCAGCAAGCGGTTTGTTTCTTCCGTCCGGATGTTTCAGAAAGGTTTCAGTCATGTTCCGCAATAACTTATCTTTCAGAGAGTATTCATATGTGTTGGTCTCTGTCGTCGCGAGCTCCCATGTTGATGGCTCACTTGCTCTTGCTAGCCCTAATCATGACCGTCCGCTGGGTTGGTGTGTGTGTGCTGTGTCGTTGTATGTGGTGATGGTGTATGATGTCCGGTGATGAGTTGTGCTGTGCTGTGTGTGGTGCTGTGCTCTGCTATGTGGGGCTCTGCGGTGCTGTGCTGTGCGGGTGGATTCAGGCATCGTTACCCGGCGGCCACTGGTGCTGCAGCTGCACAAGGTGGACTCAGCAGCCGAATACGCGGAGTTCCTGCACCACCCGGGCAAGAAGTACACTGACTGGGGTGAGTGAGTGAAAACGTGTGATGGGAAGCCGAGTATGCATAGTTTTTGCACCAGGCAGGGAAGTCACACCGACTGGTGGGGTGAATGAGCGAGGCCATGGCGGGAATCAATCATTACAGCCCCGATTCTGCCAATTGTAGGACTGGCGGTTTTTTGTCATGCAACCATATCAATGTTCTTGGCCCATCTCGTCTCTCATACTTAACGTTATGCCTCTTTTTCCGATTTCTGCTCACGTTTCTCCGCAGCTGCTGTGAGAAAGGAGGTTGCAGATGAGACAGATCGAATTACTGGCAAGACCAAGATGATCTCGCCTGTCCCCATCCACCTCAGCATCTACTCACCCAATGGTATGCAGCCACCTCAGCATCTATCCTTTTACCTGTGTGCTTCCATGTAGTGTGTATTTATCTATTGGTGGCAAGCCCATGGTTTTCCATAGGTCTTCTTTTTTTTACAATGCTGACCGAGCTCCTGCCCGTTGTTGTGTCCCTGCAGTGGTGAATCTGACTCTGGTGGATCTGCCCGGACTCACAAAGATTGCTGTGGGTGAGTTGTCAAGCAGCTGCACATGGCTGGCTATGATACACCAGGTGGCAGGCAAATGCAGGTTTGATCTTATTTGTCCCCACCCCTCTCCCCACTCCCCCACCTCTTCCCCTGCGCCCATTCCATGGCTCGTTATTCCACTCTGAGCACTTAGTTGCACTGGGCAGCACATTGAGTTTTGAGACTTCTGAAAGAGCGTCGGGGGCTCGGCGTGAGAGGTAGCGCATGTTTCCAGTGTGTTGTGTGCCTGTTGTGACCTGTCTGGAGTCTGATCATTGCCTCACCTGTGTGTGTCTGTCTCTGTGTTGGTGGGGACCTGTGTGTTTGTGGTGGTGGCGTTGGTGGCGTGAATGATTGCAGAGGGCCAGTCGGAGACCATTGTGAGGGACATTGAGGAGATGGTTCGGCAGTACGTGGAGAAGGTGAGTGTGTTGAGGGTTGGTGTGGGGAAGGTGTGCTTGTGGTGTGGTGGTGGCGTTGGCGCTGTTATTGACCGCCAAGGGCCAATCGGAGACCATTGTGAGGGACATTGAGGAGATGGTTCGGCAGTATGTGGAGAAGGTGAGTGTGATGAGGGTTGGTGTGGGGAAGGTGTGCCTGTGGTGGTGACGCTGGTGCCTATATTGACCACAGAGGGCCAGTCGGAGACTATTGTGAGGGACATTGAGGAGATGGTTCGGCAGTACGTGGAGAAGGTGAGTGTGGGGAGGGTGAGGGCGGGGTAGATGAGTGTGGGGAAGACGAGTGTGGGGACGTTGTGGGGATCGGGGAGAACGAATGAGGGATATGAGACTTGGGGGGGTCGTGTGGGGGTATTAGGTGCAGCTTCAGCAATGTCCAAATGTTGAATGTCATGGTATGGCAGAATGGTGAAATGGTGGTGAGTATTGGGGGTGAGGAACGAGGGATCGAGGCAGGAGGAGGATGGAGAGTGGGGAGTGCGGGTTGGAGCGTCCTCTTGCGTCATTCTGGCTGCGTTGTTCATCAATGAAGGCATTTGCATTGTGTGTTTGACATACAAACCTTCATAGTACTTCCACCATTTTCCACCTCCCGCCTTCAACCCAACCCTCCCCTCCCTCCTCTGCAGCCCAACTGCATCATCCTGGCAGTGTCCCCCGCCAATCAAGACATTGCCACCTCCGATGCCATGCGCATGGCCAGAGAGGTCGACCCTGAGGGTGAGTAGTCCTGGGAATGTTTAGTTTTATGGGCAAGAAGTCCCCAGGGTAAATAGCCCTGGAAAGGATCAAGATATTGCCACCTCTGGTGCCATGCGCATGGCCGGAGAGGTCTTTCTCGAGGCTGAGTAGTTGTGAGAGTGCCATTTTGAGGGTAATCCTTTTTTTTTTCTAAAGTTATCCAGGATCTCCTGAGTGTACGTGGCCTCCTAGGTTAAGTATCATGGGGCTACGCAAGAACAACCAGGTGATTCCCCTCCCTCTCAATCCAACCGTGTTTTTCCAATGTTGGTTCCCCTTCCCGATCCCCGTGCTGGCATGCAGGCGAGAGGACATGGGGTGTGCTCACGAAGCTCGACCCGATGGACAAGGGCACCAACGCTCTGGATGTACTCCCTTCCTTATTCACCCAACCGTGATTGCTCCCATGTTGGTCCCCTTCCCGGTCCCCATGCTTGGCGTGCAGGCGAGAGGACATGGGGTGTGCTCACAAAGCTCGACCTGATGGATAAGGGCACCGACGCGCTTGACTTACACCCACCCTCCCTCTCAACTCTTTCTTTCGCTCTGTGCTCCCTATGCTACTCCTCGTTTTTGGGTCCCAATCCCACGTGCAGGCGAAAGGACATGGGGCGTGCTCACAAAGCTCGATCTGATGGACAAGGGCACTGACGCGCTTGACTCACACCCACTCTCACTCTCAACTCTTTCTTTCGCTCTGTGCTCCCTATGCTGCTCCTCGTTGTTGGGTCTTAACCAATCCCGGTGCGTGCAGGCGAGAGGACATGGGGTGTGCTCACAAAGCTCGACCTGATGGACAAGGGCACCAACGCTCTTGATGTACGCCCTCCTTGCCATTCCCTTGCTGCATGTCCTTTTGCCCGATTTCCTTGCCTCACGCCTTAGGTTTGGCCACGTTTTGAGAGCTTGCCGTGTGTTCTCATGCTCCAATCTCCTGATTTGTGCCCTTTGTTTTCTAACAACCGAGTTAGCACTGCTTTTGCCCCTGCTCTTTACATCACCCTGCTCTAGCACTGACCTTACGGGCTTTGATCCTAGTGCTAAAAGGATCTCCACCTTGCTGCTCTTCCCCATGAGTGAGGACCCGAGGGACCTCATGTTCGTGTATCGTCACCAGGCGCGAGAAGGCCATTTATGCGTGTTCATTTCCTACAGGATCAGCTACGTGTGTTGGGCGTGGTAAACCTGCCGTGAACCGCTTATTCCCTTTCCCTGCCTGCACGTATGCCAAACACATATGCCACACAAACACATATGCCTTCAGGTGCTAGAGGGGCGCTCGTACAAGCTCAAGTACCCGTGGGTGGGCGTGGTGAACCGCTCTCAGGCCGACATCAACCGCAACGTGGACATGCTGGCATCCCGGCGCAAGGAGAGGGAGTACTTTCAAACGTCTGCCGACTATTCCCACTTGGCCAACCGCATGGGCACTGAGTATCTGGCCAAGATGCTGTCCAAGGTACGGCCCTCACCTGCTGACGGCATGAGAATGGCAGCATGAGAATGGCAGCATGAGAATGTGGCAGCACTAGAGCATGGCAGCAGCATCAACCACAAGGGGGACATACTGGCGCATCAGCGGCGTCACGGCGCAAGACGAGAGAGGAGTACTTCCAGACGTCCGTCAAAAGTGATCCCTAACTCCAGTGCACCCTTAATGCCATCTCTCTCACATGTGCCCTCATTACCACCACGTTCTCTGTGCCGTGCTGCTGTGCTGTGCTGGCAGCATCTGGAGCAAGTCATCCGCTCCAAGATCCCGGGCATCCAGTCACTCACCAACACAGTCTCAGATTCTCATGGGTTCCACTCTCTCACATGCTCTCCCTCATATGCCCTCCCTCACGTGTTCTCCCCTGCGTATCCTCTCCCCGTGTTGCTGTGCCGGCAGCATCTGGAGCAAGTCATTCGTTCCAAGATTCCGGGCATCCAGTCGCTCATCAACACATTGAGTTCTTATATGTGCTGTGCTGTGTTGCGACCTCGTGTTGTCTTGTCGTTGTGCCTGCAGCATCTGGAGCAAGTCATTCGTTCCAAGATCCCGGGCATCCAGTCGCTCATCAACACATTGAGTTCTTATATGTGCTGTGCTGTGTTGCGACCTCGTGTTGTCTTGTCGTTGTGCCTGCAGCATCTGGAGCAAGTCATTCGTTCCAAGATCCCGGGCATCCAGTCGCTCATCAACACATTGAGTTCTTATATGTGCTGTGCTGTGTTGCGACCTCGTGTTGTCTTGTCGTTGTGCCTGTAGCATCTGGAGCAAGTCATTCGCTCCAAGATCCCGGGCATCCAGTCGCTCATCAACACATTGAGTTCTTATATGTGCTGTGCTGTGTTGCGACCTCGTGTTGTCTTGTCGTTGTGCCTGCAGCATCTGGAGCAAGTCATTCGCTCCAAGATCCCGGGCATCCAGTCGCTCATCAACAACAACATTGACGACCTTGAGAAGGAGATGAACGCACTGGGCCGGCCCATTGGGGGCGAAGCGGGGGTGAGTGGCACGCACATGTGCTCTATTGTCTTCACAAGCTCATTTTCGTTAGGAGTATCTTCTGCTCTGTTCTAAGTCCTGACTGCATCTCATCCGTCGCTACTCTCTCTTTCCCCACCGCTCCTTTCTACTTCTCATCTTGGCCACACATGGTACTGACTATTACTACAGGGTTAACAACTCTCTTATTCCTCCTCCCCGCACCCTTTCTCCCAACCCCACCTTCACCTGCACCACTTCTCTCCCGTCCCTTCCCTTCCCCCCCACCCCCTTTTGACGCCCCCCTTTACCGAAGGACGTCCCGCCCTACCCCGCCGTCCCCACCCCCGTCCCCTGCTTTCCTAATTGCTGCCTCCTTCCATCCCCCCCCCGCTTCGTTCACCTGCAGGCCCAGCTATACACGGTGCTGGAGATGTGCCGAGCGTTTGACAAGATATTCAAGGAGCACCTGGATGGCGGGTAAGTGGTCGGGGGTGGGTGGGTGTGTCCTGGGGTGGTCTGGGGCCGAAGGCAATGAAAGGGCCGCATGCCTAGCTGTACACGGTGCTGGAGATGTGTCGAGCGTTTGACAAGATATTCAAGGAGCACCTGGATGGCGGGTAAGGGCTGTGGGTTAGGGTGGATGCATGCTGGGATGGGCTGGGGGCTATGGCATTGGGGAGGCCGCGGGCGGGGATATACATGGTGCTGGAGATGTGTGGAGCATGGAGATGTGTGGAGCATGGAGATGTGTGGAGCATGGAGATGTGTGGAGCATGGAGATGTGTGGAGCATGGAGATGTGGAGATGTATTTTCTCTCCTGCCCCTCTCTTCTGAGACGAAGCTAACAGCAGCACTCAACAAGCTTCCCTCTTGAACCGCCTTAAAACCTCTCTCTGTTCTTTTCTTTCCAATCCACCAGTCGGCCAGGGGGTGATCGGATCAATGCTGTGTTTGAAACGAAGCTGCCAGCGGCACTCAACAAGCTCCCCTTCGACAAGCACCTCTCCATCCAGAGTACGTGCCTTCCCAGTCCAAGCCACACACGCACGCAGATGTGTGCATATGTGCACGCACATTGCTGTGTTTGAGACGAAGCTGCCAGCGGCACTCAACAAGCTCCTCTTCGACAAGCACCTCTCCATCCAGAGTACGTGCTTCCGTTGTCCGAGTAACTTAACATACGTGCTCCATTATCCGCAAAGCCCTGTGTCAACGCCTCGAAGAATGCACAAGTCAAAGGCCACAGACTGCCCATTCAACACCCCTTCCCTTCTTCCCTCACCCCAACAACCGGCAGATGTGAGGCGGATTGTGGCGGAGGCAGACGGGTACCAGCCGCATCTGATCGCCCCTGAGGGTGGTTACCCCCTCGATAAACTCTCCCCTGCCAATCCATACCCCTGTCCCACTCACACTCCTCCCTCTCCCCAACCCCTTCCCTCACCCCAACCACCGGCAGATGTGAGGCGGATTGTGGCGGAGGCAGACGGGTACCAGCCGCATCTGATCGCCCCAGAGGGCGGTTACCGGCGGCTGATAGAGAGCGCGCTGCTCATGTTCAAGGGGCCGGCAGAAGCCTGCACAAGGCAACGCCCAGACTCATAGCCGAGGCAGACGGCAGTTACACCTCACTAACCTCCCTATCTCCACCCTCCTCCCAACAATTCCCTCCCGCCCCTCGCTCTCCGAATTCTTCAGATGTGAGGCGGATTGTGGCGGAGGCAGACGGGTACCAGCCGCATCTGATCGCCCCAGAGGGCGGGTACCGCCGCCTAATAGAGAGCGCGCTGCTCATGTTCAAGGGGCCGGCCGAAGCAGTGGTGGACAAGGTGCATTTCATTCTCAGGGACCTCGTTCGCATCTCCGTAGGGGAAACCACCGAGCTGCTCCGGTTTCCTTCGCTCCAGGCTGAGCTCTCTGCTGCTGCCACTCAGTCGCTGGAAAGTTTTCGGGAGAACAGCCGGAAGCTGACCGTGCGATTGGTGGAGATGGAGACGAGTTATCTGACCGTGGAGTTTTTTCGGCGGCTGCCCGGGCTGGAGAATTTGGAGGACGGGATGGAAGGGAAGGAGGGGAAGGATGGGAAGAAGGGGGGTGGGAGTGGCGGGAGTAGCAAGCTCAAGGCGTTGAAGGGCAGTGGGGATAAGCTGCCTACCGGGGCGGATCGATACCAGGAAATGCACTTCAGGAGAATCGGTGAGTGTGTTTGAGTTTTGTGAAATGTGGTTAGGAGAAATGATTAGAGTGCATATAGGCTTCAACTTGTCCACGTGTAGTGAAGCGATTTTTGAGGCGCCTCAAAAAGTGCATATGGGCTTCAACTTGTCCTTAGTCCACCTATGTGGGCATGGTAACCCATAGATTATTGGGGTTTCCCCTGAATAGTCAAATCATTGGGATTATTGCAAATTTCAATGCAATCTTGCAGGGTCCAATGTGTCAACCTACGTGGGCATGGTCATGGAGTGCTTGCAGAACGCCAGGAAGTCACATTCTTCCCCCACTTTCCGTCAAGCATCATTCTTCCTTACTCCGCATCCCCTGTCAACCCTCGCTGCCCCTCTGTTTGCAGGCTCCAACGTGTCAACCTACGTGGGCATGGTCATGGAGTGCTTGCAGAATTCCATCCCCAAAGCGGTGGTGCACAGCCAGGTAGGATTGGGTGTTGCCAGGTGGTATCAGGTGCTGCCAGGTGGTATCAGGTGCTGCCAGGTGGTATCAGGTGCTGCCAGGTGGGACTGCTCTGTCAGGTAGAATTGGGTATGGCAGGTTGAATTGTGCTCTGCCTGGTAGCGCTGCCCATATTCAGGTGGAATTTGGAGTGCCAGATAAAATCTTGCACTGCCAGGTGGGATTATGCAATGCCAGGTAGGATTGCCCACTGCCAAGTAGGTATGCACGCTCTTCTATAGTTTATCACACTGTCGAATCTGCATCATCTCCCCCTTTCGCTTTTGATGGGCAGGGAGGACAGAAAGGCGGTAATTGACCTTATACGCTTCCTTTTCTGCCGTTTTTGTCTCTCTTTTGCTGGTCCGGGAGGCCAAGCGGCAGTTGCTGGATTGGTTTTATGCGATGGTGGGCAGAGAGGATGGAACGGCGGTGACTCAGCTTTGTGCCCCCTTCAATACCTAGTTCTGTGTGTGTCTCTCTCTCACTCGCTCTCTGTTGTCAGGTCCGGGAAGCCAAGCGGCGGCTGCTGGATCGGTTCTATGCAATGGTGGGCAGGGAGGATGGAAAGGCGCTGGCGAAGCTGCTGGATGAGGATCCGGACGTGATGGCTCGGAGGCAGGCCGCGTGGAAGAGGCTGGAGCTGCTGCGCAAGGCGCGGAATGAGATTGATAGTGTTGGATGGGCCCGAGTGTGAGGTGCGGGAAGGGGTTGGGCTGGGTTGAGTTGGGATTGGTGGTGGGTGAAGGATGGGAAGTGGGGTAGACAGTGTAGGTGAGACTTGGGCTGTTGGACAAGGTGTTTTTAGTGAAGTGGTTTAGCCAGGCGATTTGCCAGGAAGACATGTTAAGTACGGTAAGTCACATAAGCTGTTACGTTTTAGTCCAAAACACTAAGGGAAGTATGTCAATGCTGATCTATGAAAATTACAAGAATCAAGTACACTTATCATTGTAGTTGTGTTAGCGGGAATCCCGACCGTTGGCGGTTGATTTTGGGGCTTTCCACGATTCGGCAATTTCACGAGACCGGAACCGGAAAATCAGCCAGCCCCCTTGCACGCACACACCGACAAACCAGTTTGCTGCTCGCGACTGGCGGCTGAATTCATCGCGGTTGGCGCGTCGTAATTGACGGGCCAGATTCATCTGGCACATTTCGTCTCGTGCCGAACGTGGCTACTAATCGCACGGACCAAATTCACTCTCAAAATGAAGCACCCTCTGTCCCCCTTTTCTTGTGATTTGAGCCGAAAGCCCAGCCACAAGATATCGTACCCGTAATCCCGGCTCGCCCAAACCTGTCGTCATTCAGGCATGATGCATTCCCTCCCGTCCCGAGCCTAACCGTTTTGGGAATCCCGTCCGGTCCCGTCTCGTCCCGGCCGAAGTCAAACAAATAAGCGGGCCGAGGACGGCCGTGGATGAAATCGTATGACGATTCTGCTCCGTGGATTTCCGCTCTCCAAACACACCACTGCACCAGAAGCAGCTCTCTCACAGCTTGGCAGTCACAATCAAGGCAGCTACCTTGTGGCGCTGTTCTCCAGGCAGAGGGCATCGGCATGGCAGCGGCATCAGTGTGTATTCTGCTCCGTGCAAGGAGAATCTGCTGATTTTTCTTCGATTTCCACTCTTCCTCCTCCTAACAAGACTCTCAACGACTGATTTCAGTGGTTCCTGCGAACAAATATATCGTTCACGACTAGCTGTGTCTGCCAGGAAGCACAGTACAGTAGCGCATCAGTTTAGAATTGCGACTGAAGTCACTCTTGTGCTGCATCAGTTCAGGAGTGATTTTCTGAAGAGCTGCAGATAAAAAGGCGAATTTGACTCCTCGTTCCTCTGCTTTTAGTTGATCTAGGACAATACTACTGCCTTTCACCAACAGCTCCTTTTTCCGGGTCAACTTAAAACTCGAGCAGCAGCGGAGCGCGCGACTGGTTTCCCAAGGGCCTCGAAAAGCGTAACGTTGTCGTCGATGTCGTTCTTAGAAGCGCGCCAGGCCCTCGATAGGTCGCTCGCATCGCCTGCTTGGACGGATCGCGATGCCGTCGCAGCTGCTGTCAGGCGACATCTGGGTACGTGCGAACTTTGAGACGTTCTTAAGTTTCCTTCGACGTTCTTAATAGTAAAGATGTAAGCTGGTGCTGCCAGGCGCGACCTATGTGTACCACCACCTGGAAAAATAGCGGAGAGATAGACGTTAAAAGCGTGAACGATTGGGGGCCCGAGTACGTTAAAGAATGTCAGGTGTTAAGATTGTCAGGTCAGACGGGCTTTTCGATGCTGCGCTTCGAATACCTGTGGCGTCCTTTTCGGTTGGAACACCTTAATGCCAGGTTCAATACGGTGGGGTAGTGCATGCGATGGGAAGACTACAGCGTAGATTCGGAACAATTCACAGGAAGCGTTAACCAGTCTTTTCGTGCGAGATTCGTTTAATATAATAGCCGCTACAGAGTAAGCGCCACAAGAGACGGACTAGTAACAGCGATTTCCGAGAGCTTCTGACGCCCTCCAGTAGTCAGGCAACCAGTGTGGAATGGTAACCAGCGAGTGCCCCATTTCGCCAATCGCAACAAGCTGTCGCGATTCGCATCTCCTTTCTCAGTCCTCTTACCCTCTCCCGCGCGTCCACCCTTCTCCCCCTTTCCCTCTCTTCCCCTCTCCCCTGCGTTCTTCCGCTCTTGTGCCTGGGCGTTCTTGTTACCAAATCTTGGATGACTTTCGCGCAGTAGCGGATTGCGAGGAGCAAAATGTCAGCACCGGTCTCAGTCCAAGCAGCAACATTCTCGGGGAGTCCATTAAGGGTAACATTCTTCCGGGCTCCAACACTGGCGGTGCTGGCGACGATGCCGCGGGGAAGCCAGCGAGTCGCGCCCGTTTCTCGGAGAAGGTGGTCGAGGCGCGGACGCGCGAGTTAATCGACGTGCTGGACAGCCTGCGCACCGCGGGAGAGGCAAATCTGGAGTCGCTCGCGCTGAGCAACGAGAGTATCCGGGAAGACGGCGTGGATTGCGGCGACGACCGACAATGGCGGGTAAGCAACGACCGGCAAGCGGGGAAGGGCAACGGAAGGAGGACAGTAAGGAGCACCGAGTGTTGTACCTCTGCCTGCCTGAACATCTAAACCAGCTCTTCCCGCTTCGGCTTTCCCCTTGCTCCTGTTACGCAGTTGAAGGAGGAGGGAAAGGAGCACCGAGTTCTGTACCGCAAGGGCCCTGAGGGACCTGCCTAAACATCTAACCCGTTTCCTCCCTCCTCCTGTCACTCTTCCCGTTTTTTTTACACGCCGCAGTTGAAGGAGGAGGGGAAGGAGCACCGAGTGCTGTACCGCAAGGGCCCAAAGGGCACGCTTCATTTGCCAAACTATATTTTCTCCTCTCTCCGCCCTCACTCCCGTTGCCCATGGTACAGTTGAAGGAAGAGGGCAAGGAGCACCGCGTGCTGTACCGCAAGGGCCCGGAGGGCACGCCGCTGCACGAGATCTGCCTCGAAGGGATCATCAACGGCCCTCTTGACACCTGTACGTGCCACAGCCTGCCACGTGTCTGCTCTCTTCCGTTGTTGACACGTGTGTGAAGTGAGAGTGAAATCAGTGGGTTCGCTGATTGCACTTTTTCGTTTCCTGCCGGCCCAACCCTTCCCCCCATCTCTCCCTCGACTGTCCGTGTTCCCTTGTGCAGTGCTGGCGGTGGTGTGGGAAGTCCCGTTCTTCAAGGACTGGTAAGAACAACCAACTCTTGCCATCTCTTCAAATCCATGTGCCCAACCAACTTCCCCTCCTACTGCCCCCCTTTCCCCTCTCCGTTTTCCCCAGCCCATCCATACCCCCCTTCCCGCTTTCCCCCCACAGAACCTCCCCCCACCTTCCCCCTTCCATCCTCTCGTCCCCCCATATCCACTTTTTCTTCTCTCCCCGTCCCGCCATCACTCCCACTTGGCACTCACTTTCACCCTGTCCCACTCTCGTTGGTTTCAAACAACTCATCGAGTTGCCTAGAATATGGCGTCACGCACAGCATCGTATCGCCATCTTATCCGTTTCGCACCCGTGAAGCATGCTGCGTCTTTCCATGCCACGTCATTTCATGCCACGTCACCCCATGCCACGTCATCCCGTGCAGGTGGCCACAGTTCAGCGTGCCGCCCTTCAAGGTGCTAGAGTCCAAATTCGCCCACCGCATCGCACCGGGCCTAGAGCTCAGCTACCTGCAGTGAGTCATGGTGTTGGATTCATGGTGATGCCTATAGCGGGTTGGTGGGAATGTCAATAGCGAGTCAGGGGTGATACCGAAATCGAGCTAGCGAGTCATAGTGATGCAGGAGTCATGCTTTGGCCTCAGTATGTTGATCTATTACTTCCACCTCCTCCTCCCAGTCACCTCCCCAACTTCCATCTCTCTTTCGCTCTTTATATCCACGCCTACTAATCTCCATCTGCTGTTCTCATAATTACCTGCCTTCTCCGTGTCTCTCCCCCTCCTTGCTCTCTTCCCCCCCCTCCCCCCCCCCAACCCCTGCTCCCGCCATGACCTTTGTCCTCTTCGGACCTGCTCTTCCTCGCTTCTATGGTCCACCGCGCGTGTGGTTTGAGTCAACTCATACCCCTCTTTTACCTCCTCTTCCCGCCCCGCAGGTTCAGGTCGCCATGGCCCTTCGCCACGCGAGAGCTGCTCTTTTTTGCCTTCATGGTTCACGACACTGCCACGGGCCTCTTTGTTGCCTCCGTGCTCTCGGTGAGTGGTGGTGCTGCTCTTGGTGAGCGATGCGGGCTGTGACGTGGCAAGTGAGCCACGTCTCATGCTGCAGAGCAGAGCACATGCGCTAGTCTTCGCCTTCATGCTTCACGACACTGCCACGGGTCTCTTTGTCGCCTCCGTGCTCTCGGTGAGTCGTGGTGTTGCTCTTGGTGAATCATGCGGGTGAGCCACGTCTCATGCTGCAGAGCAGAGCACATGCGCTAGTCTTTGCCTTCATGGTTCACAACACGGCCACGGGCCTCTTTGTCGCCTCCGTGCTCTCAGTGAGTTTAGGTGCTCGTGCTGACTGAATGGTGGTGCTTTCGGTAGTGCTCTCAGTGTGCGTGTGTGTGTGTGTGTGTGTGTGTGTGTGTGTGTGTGTGTGTGTGTGTGTGGGTGCCATTGTGTGTCATTCGATTTTGTTGAGCTCGTGCTTCAGGTGAGCATAGGTCCTCTCGGGTGAGTCGTGCAAGGAGCGAGTTCACTACGTTTGAGGCGTCTCAAAATCTTTGAGACGTCTCAAGAATCGCCCACCGCCCCGCCCTTGTTGAGCTCGTGCTTTGGGTTGGGTGAGCATAGGTCCTCTCGGGTGAGTCGTGGGGGGAACGAGTTCACTGCTCATTGGTGGAAAAGCCATGCCCTCTAGTCCTCGCCTTTATGTTGCATAATACCACCACCACCAACCTTCCCCTAACCCCCTCCCTCCCGCCCCCTTGTCCTCCCCTCCCTTCTCCCCCTTCCCCCAGCCACCCGACGACATATCACACATGGACCTTGAGACAGCGCACGACTGTAACCTCTCAACCCTCAAACCTAACCTCCTCCCTTCCCTCCCCCTTCTCCTCCCCCTTCCCCCAGCCACCTGACGACATATCACACATGGACCCCGAGACAGCAGCCCTGGCCCCATCCGCCATCCCCTCTGTGGCGCCGGGCTGTGTGTGCATGATTTTATTCTTCCAACTCGCTCCCGCCTTCCCGTTGCTTCCCCTTCCCCCACCCCCTACATGCTCTGTTCCCCCAGCCACCTGACGACATATCACACATGGACCCCGAGACAGCAGCCCTGCACCCATCCGCCATCCCCGCTGTGGCGCCGGGCTGTGTGCGCATGACTGTGGGCGGCGGCTTTGCAGGCCAGGACCTGGGGGGCGGCCGCTGCTACTTCCGGTAAGCTTTACCTCTTGAGAAGCATGCCCTCGCCCCGTGTGTGTGTGCTTTGTCAGGGGCAAATCCGGAATGTATGAGGCAGGGCAGGACCTGGGGGGCGGCCGCTGCTCCTTCCGGTCAGCTTGGGCTCTTGAGAAGTTTGAGGGGTACGCCTTGCCACTGTTGTTATTCCTAGCTTTGACTCTGCAATTCGCAGGGCAGGACCTGGGGGGTGGCCGCTGCTACTTCCGGTAAGCTTTCCCTCTTCCGGTAAGCATTCGCCTTCGCTCCTTGCGTGTGCGCTTTGTCAGTGCAATCCGCACCTGGGGGGCGGCCGCTGCTACTTCCGGTAAGCTTTCCCTCTTCCGGTAAGCATTCGCCTTCGCTCCTTGCGTGTGTGCTTTGTCAGCGCAATCCGCACCTGGGGGGCGGCCGCTGCTACTTCCGGTAAGCTTTCCCTCTTCCGGTAAGCATTCGCCTTCGCTCCTTGCGTGCGTGCTTTGTCAGCGCAATCTTCACCTGGGGGGCGGCCGCTGCTACTTCCGGTAAGCTTTCCCTCTTCCGGTAAGCATTCGCCTTCGCTCCTTGCGTGTGTGCTTTGTCAGCGCAATCCGCACCTGGGGGGCGGCCGCTGCTACTTCCGGTAAGCTTTCCCTCTTCCGGTAAGCATTCGCCTTCGCTCCTTGCGTGTGTGCTTTGTCAGCGCAATCCGCACCTGGGGGGCGGCCGCTGCTACTTCCGGGGGGTGTGCCTTGCCACTGCTGTTATTCCTGGCGTTGTTTCTGCAACGAGGCAGGACATGGGGGGCGGCTGCAGCTACTGTTATTGTTCCTGGCGTTGTTTCTGCATCCCCTGTGGCTCATCGCCTTCGTTGCCTCTGAAAGTGCCACCAGCACCAACAACACACCCTCAACCTTCCTGACTTTGCCCCATTCCCTCCCTCTCCTCCCCCCAACAGTGGTGCATGCACGCTGGATATGAAATTCGACCTCATGCCCCCATGGCTCATCAATTTCGTTGCCAGGCAGCTAGCAGGCTCTGGTTACCACCTGCTCTGCCACGAAGTGGACACCATCGTTAAAGCCACGGCCGCTGCTGCTGCTGCTGGTGTGAAGAAGTGTGACAAGAAGAAGGGGCGCGGGGCGTTTCAGCAGCTTCTGGCCTCCGATCCCGTCTATGCGGGTCTGAGGAAAGCGATGGAGGAGTATAGACGGGGTAAGGAGGAGGACGAGGAGAGGAGGAGGAGGGAAGGGAGTGAGGAGGAGGGAAGGTGTATGAGGGAATTGGGGGAGAAGGTGGAGGAGGAGGTGGAGCGGCTTGTTTCGTCTTTATCTAAGAGGGAGAGTGTGCTCGGACCTGAGGAGGCACAAGAGGCTCTGCTACAGCTGGAGGCGGCTGCTTCTTCGGCTGTAGCGCTGACTCGACCTTCCGTCAAACCGCTTGGTTTGCAGGCTAGGGACAGGTCCGGAAGCAGGTCCGGGAACGGGTTGGCTGCAAGTGAAGCATCTGCCGCTGCTGCAACGATTCTAGCTGCTGCTACAGCTGCAGCTAATGCTGCTGAGGGCCCTCCCAGTGCTTCCACTTCCTTCAGCTCCGTTACCCAATCCTTTTCGTCTGGACCTCTTCCTTCGGCTCGGCACGGAGGTCTGGAAGCTGGAGAGGGCATGGCGAGCTTGCTTCGGGAGTCCTCCTCTGTACGTTCGGGGCCACTTCCTAGCATCCGAACCGTCACTGGCAGCACCACCAGCAGCGGCAGCTATGGTATCATTGCTAACCTTCGGGCAGGTGAAATTCCAGATATGCTGAACAGCAGTTGCAGCGTGACCAGCAGCAGAAGCTCCTTTGCTTGCGGTGACAGTGCCAGTGCCAGCGGCAGCAGCAGCCAGAGCAGCAGCGGCAGCAGCAGTCCGAGCAGTTACCCGGGGCTTTATCACAGAGACCCCGCAATTTTCCGGGCAGTTGCGACGCTGGATAAGGCGATTCTATTCGTGCGTGCACGGGCGGCAGCTGCAGCAGCAGAAGCAGAAGCGGGTTCTTTGGAGTCACGAGATGCCAAGCATGAGAAGCCTGTCAAAAGCATGACAGCTCCAACTGGGACTAAGGGTGAGGAGACGGTACTGACTGGTGGGGATTTGGAGATTGTTTCACCCTTGGGCAGTTCAATGGGGCCAGTCAAGTCTGCCGCTCGACCTATCACGGTTGTAGGAGAGTCGGGCGATGATATTCTACACATAGTGGATGGGTGCGACAATGATGCATCGGCAGGATGTGTTGAAGACAGTGTTAAAAAGGCAGGGAAGCGGAGTGATGGAGGTGGAAAGAGGGTTTTCCTGTCCAAAATCGGCAAGAGATTCCTCGGGATGAGGTTTTCTCGCTCAAGTAAGCATACTTAGGCACGGCGTTTTGCCTTATATGAGAGTATCTATGTACCAATGCCTTGTTCACGTAGTTATTATTATTATATATATTTACAGCGTGTTGAAGGGGAACTTTCACTTACAAAACTTGAAGCTCATATGATGTCCAGGCTTGCTCAACATGTCACTGTTATTGGGAACATGTGCTGCAGGCAGTCTCTTAGTGCTTATATGACCTTATTGTTTACGTTGCGTTATAGGAATCAATACCCCGAAGTCGTTCAAATCGCGTACTCCGCATTCATAGGCCGGTGGGGTGACCGCATCACTGTTTACGGCGCGATGCGTGTGAAAGATTCGCGATTCGAGGCTAACGGTGCGAAAGCTAGGTGCTTTGTTTCGAATTGAAGGTTCGGAACCACTCCACCTCGCCTAGCCTCACCTCACCACACCTCGCCACCGCCACCGATGTCTCTATACATAGCGAAATATAGCTCGTTGTGATTGGTGTTCCGCGCACGTCGCTCGATTTGGGTACGTCGTTGCCACCTTTCAAGAGTCGCACAAGTCTCTCGTCCGAGCCTAGTCGTCTACCCAAACCTACCCGGTGTTGTCGCCATACCGTCGCTACTTTCTGTGTTTAGGGCGTGGATCTTTTGGAGTGTATGTAAAGTTCATAGTCTTTTTTCGACTTTATGCATTTGAACCTTGGTCGACCTGTAATCGACTATCCCGATAAATTTCCTTTTTCCTTTTCCATTTATTTCCTTTCATTTTTCACAACAAGCACATGGACCAACAAAGTTCGACTGTCGAAGGTCGACTTTTTACAGTAAATCCCGAGTCGTGCCTTCGCTTCGTAGGTTACCTGGTCTATTAAAAGAAGTTCGTAACCGAATCCGACTTCGGTAACTCAGTACGACGCTTTTGTTTCTGTCGCTATTTTCGCTGCTGCTCTTTTCGTGAGCAGAGGGACACACGATTGGAAAAACGTGGACGAAAAAATCTCATGCGAGCTCGACCTCCGTTCAGTGTCCTCCTGTTTTCTCAAACATTTACATGGACACAAGAACGTCGCAAACAGTTTCTGACGAAATTAACGAAGCAAGTTACCATCAAAAGGTCGACCTTTTTCCCGAACGTCTACACCAAAAGACACCCGCCCTTAGATTCACACTTGACGGGGTACAGCGGAGAAAAGGCCTAGGAATTACCGCGCGGCTCCCAGGTTCCTCCACCGGAGACTAGGCCTGCTAGGAGGTTCCCATCCCACGCCCACCATAGGGATGAAAGAAGGCGACACAGACATCCTAGTTCATATTGACCACCCGCCTTGTCCAGTTGTGCCTTCACGTTCCATCCAAGCCATCACATAACCCGTCAACTTCGCCAGTCAGTCAGTCTCATCAGTCTTGATACAAAGAGCGACCATTACCGTTGATTGAAGAGGAGTTTCGCTCTCAAAGGTGATCTATCGTTAGATTCTTTCTTTAGCGACTGTCAAGACGATAATAGGCCGAATTCTCACCGACAATTGTACGAACTGCGAAATACAATCTATTATAACTGAAAACTGGACTCGGAGCAACGTAGCATTTCCACAACGATAACTTATTCTCTGTAGCGCGGGACGCGAGGAAAGCCGTTTTAACAATTCTAAGAAAGAAAGCCAAGCCATGGCGCTAGCAGAGGGCATCGACCTTCTCGATCAGGCTCTGGATGAGCCCACGTGGAAAGACCTCGATGAAGTCACGGCTCTTATAAGCAAGCAGCTGGACGTAAAAAATGGCGCAGCAGCAGCGGCAGCAGCAGGTGGATCGCGCAACAGCGTGGCGGACTATTGGGCTGCGGAGACCGTTAAGCTTCTAGAGGATCTTAAGAGCGTCAGTGTGGAGGCACTCGCAACCACCGACCCTGCGGACCGCAATGCGTGGAAGGTACTTTCTTGTTTCCACTCCTTGCCGTGTTTTGAATCGTGAAAAGCCCACATCGAAGGTTCTTCCTTCTTCCCTAGCCGTTGAAACAATTACTAGAAACTCTCGGATTGCGCCACTACAACGCGAAGCGTTTGATGTCTGCATTTCATCACCCCGTATTCATCGCTATCTGCATGTCCATGCTTCCCCTGCAGATGTGCGAGGAGGGTCCGGAGCACCGCGCGATGCTGCGCAAGGGGCCGGAAGGCACGGCGATAAACGCGCTGTGCATGGAGGGGCGCATCGACAGCCCCGTGCACGCCGCCGTCGCCATGACGCGCGACGCGGGGTTCTTCAAGGAGTGGTGGCCGCAGGGCGACATGCCCGTCTACCGCATCGTGGAAAACCGGTACCTCGCGCGCGTCGGCGACGGCTTCGATATTACATACATGAAGTGAGTATATCGATAGATGATGTGAGTGTATCGGTAGATAAAGCCGTCGGCGACGGCTTCGATATTACATACATGAAGTGAGTAGCACGTTAGACGAAGTGAGTGTATCGGTAGGCAACAGAGGCTTACATATAGCAAAACCCTTTTCGCTATCCTTCCCCTTCAACCCGCAGGCTAACCACAAGCCTCCTCCTGTCCTCACCACGCCTCTCCTCTCTTCTCGTTCGTTCTTTGCGCTCGCATTTCCAGGTTCAAGGTGCCGTGGCCGTTTCCATGGCAGGAATTCGCGATGATTTTCTTTACCATTTACGACGCGGACACGGGCGTCGCTACCACGGTCGTCCGCACGGTGAGTGCAGGAGTGTGACTGCGACTGTGACTGGGAATGTGGGAGGGTCTGTAAGTGTGCGAGTGTGTGCGTGTGCGCGCGCTCGTGTGAGGATGCCTGTGCCTACGAACAATAACGAAATCGACTATTTTTTCCTGAGGGTGTTTTCTCGTGGCGTGTCGCCTGCACAGCTCAATCAAACCCCCACTTTCTCCCCCTCTCTCCATGCCCCCCGCTCCCTGCTCCCTTCACCCTTCCAATACCCAGCTTCCAGAGGACAACAGCGAAATCGACTCATCCATTCACGGCTTTTCCCGTGACATGGCGCCGCCAGTCCCCTCGGGAATGGTCCGCATGGCGATCAACGGCGGATTCTCCATCAAAGATCTGGGCCGTTCGCGCTGCCACTTCCGGTCGATCTTTACATGCGATCTGAAGCTCCCGGCCATGGTGGTCAACTTCGTTACCAAGGAGTTCGGAGGGGTGCTGTTCAATCTGTTCCGAAAGGAGGTGGAGACGGATTTGGCCGATGAAGGGCAAAAGGGGGTGGAGTTTAGGAAGGTTCTGAAAGAGGAGAAGCTGTATGGCCGGATTGAAGCAGCTATGGATGCGTATAGGGCAAAGGCGGCTGGAGGATTCGGGATGGGTGAGAATGGGTTGGGAGAGACGGGGGTGGAGGGAGAGGAAGGGGAGGAGGTGGAGGAGGAGAAGAAGGTGCTGGTGGCTACTGCGTCGTTTGTGGAGGGAGGCGTTAGGGAGGCACGTAGACCTGCCATGGCATCAGCAGCTGCAGCAGCAGCTGCCGCTGCTGCGGACCCAGCAGGTGCACAATCAGCAGCGGCAGTGGGTCGCGCAGATGATGATGAAGAGGAGGTGTTTGAGGATGCAGAGGATCAGCTTCTCGTTACCCTGGAAGACTCAGAGACTCCTGCTTACCACCACCACCAGCACCAGCACCAGCAGCAGCAGCAGCACCCCCATCCTCCTGTTCCTCCTGCGTACGCCCCCTTCTCATCCCAAGACCCGGCCATCGCTGCAGCCTTCGCAGCAGCAGCCGCGCTGGCAGGCGCAGGTGGGACTGGTGCAGGTGGGACTGGTGCAGGTGGTAACCCCGTGGTTGGCTCTGCTAGCTCCGGTGCTGCCGATCCTGCCCTGACCCCGGACGTGCTCCAGGCTATGGCAACTCTAGAGCAGGCGTTAGTGTCCCTGCGTGCCCGCACCTCTGCTGCACTATCTGCTGCTGCTCACTCCGGCGGAACAGGAGGAGGGATGTACGCAGGGCAGTACGGTCACGCCTATCCTCCCCCTTCCCACCCTGCCTATGGTGCTGTGCCTGGGTATGGACCAGTGGTGGGGGGAAAGGGTGGCAGGCTTGTGGGTGCTCCTATGGGGAATCCTCAGCTGCTGCCGTATTATGCCGCCCCGTTCCCGCCCAATGAGATGCAGCGGTTTGCCGGTCCGGTTCCTGTGGTTGGGAGGATGGAGGGGTATGGAAGGGTTTCCGGGCGGCGGGTGAACGGAGCGAGAGGGGGAGGTGGGAGGTATAAGGGCGAGGGAGGAGTGATGGTTGCGCCTGGAAAGGGGGGAATGGGCGGAAGGGGAGGAGGAGAGGGGGGAGGAGGGGGGAAGATGAGCAGGAATGGGAAGCAGCAGCCTCCCTTCCATCCCTCGCAGCAGCAGATGATGGTTTCGGGAAAAGCAGGTGCAGGGACAGGGAAGGTTGCTACAGCAGAAGCTCCTGCTACAGCCGCTGCTGCTCCTCCTGCTACAACCTCAACGCTCTGGTCGGCCGCTTCAGCCCTGTTTGGGCTTGCCACGTGTTGCACTGCCACTGGCCTGAGAAACGCCGAGGCGGCAGGGTACATTCTGCCTGAAGAGCTGCCGTCGGAGAGGTGGCGTGATGATGTTGAGGACGACTATAACGAGTATGATTCTGAGGAGGATGATTATGAGGATGAGGGGTATTATGAGGGGTATGGAGGTGGTATGAATGGTGCTCCAGGGGGTTATGGAAAAGGAGGGTATGGGAATGGGGTGTATGGCCCTGGTGCTTATGGCGATGGTGGTTATGGGGGGAATGGTGAAGGTAGATTGGTGGATGAAAGGCAGGTGTGGAGAGGAAGAGCCATGGTTGGCAATCTGGCAAGATGATGGGGGTGTAGCTCGCTCCGTGCAACACTTGTTTGCTACATGCTGTAACGTGCTCCTCTATTACAAGCAATCACCAATTTATTTACCAGTCCTCAATCCTTAGCTTCTTGCTGAATCCATATCAAGTAGCCGGGATCTCAAAAAGTGTAACGACTTCAATTGTGAGGACTCAACGTTTATCGGGGACAAAATTCGTTGAATTCGTGGACCAGCAAGGGCCTAGGGGATTACGTGAGTGCTGCTTCCCCCAACCCAACAGACCTCGGGAATTACGCAAATTTTTGGGGAAGGATCTAGTTCTGCAGTGTTTTCCCAAATACGGTAGATTACATACATTCCTGGTTTCTGTTCCGTAGTCCCTACTGTGAACTGGCAGGGTCACGCGTGTTTCCCGTGCCTGATCTATTAGCGAAGTCTCGCGACTTACGGACACCAGCTTGATCCGCGTATAGTCACATCCATCTGGATCAGCAATACTGCTGATCTTATTTCCGAGCCTCCCGCTCGCCTCGAAACATGGAAGGCGGAGGGGTGGGTGGCGGAGGCCGTGAGTGGCGCCCGCGGGGAGGCGGCGGCGGAGGCCGCGGACGGGGAGGCGGAAGACAAGGCGGCGGGGGGGCGTATGCGGGAGACAGTTGGGGGGACGGCGCGGGGACAGGCAGAGGGGGAACAGGCGGAGGGGGAAGAGGCGGAAGGGGTGACGGGGACGCGTCAGGCTGGGGTGGCGGAGGGAGAGGAGGGCGGGGCGGAAGCGGCGGAAGGTATGGGGGAGGGGATCAGCGCGGCTGGCGGGGGGACGGCGGAGGCGGAAGGCAACAAGGACGGGGAGGCGGAGGTTTTGGCGGAAGATGGGGCGGAGGGGGCGGACGAGGGGGGAGAAATTATCAGCAGCAAGGGGAGCAACAAGGGGAGAATCAGGCGGGAGCAGTGCAGCAGGCTGAGCAGCAGGTTCAGCACACAGCTCACGGGCAGCATATGCAACAGTCGCAACCAGTTGACGGGCAGAATCTGGGTGGAACGGGCAGTGCAGGAATTTTAGGAACTGCCCCACATGCTCCCTCAGTGCCCCCTGGATTTGAGAAGCAGACCAATCCAGTTGAAACAACAGCTGCTACTGCCGGTGCAGCTGCTACAGCTGCTACAGCCGCTGCTACAGCTGGTTCCTCGGGCCTCGCAATCCCTCCTGGGTTCGGTCCCCCTTCCTCCCAACCCTCCGCTTCCGCCTCTCCCGCTTTCCCTCCGGGTTTTGGCTCATCCTCGTTACAGGCTGCTTCTGTAAGAGCCCCTCCTGGATTCGCACCACCCCAGGTTGTAGCAGCTCCTGCAGCATCAACGGCTGTAGCAGGGCCTGCAGCATCAACGGCTGTAGCAGCGCCTGCAGCATCAACGGCTGTAGCAGGGCCTGCAGCATCAACGGCTGTAGCAGCGCCTGCAGCAGCATCAATGGCTGTAGCAGCGCCTGCAGCAGCATCAATGGCTGTAGCAGCAGCTCAAGTGGAGGAGGAGGAGCCGTTTTTGTCGTATCTGCCACAGGATGAGATCTTGGCAGGTGGAGTGTGCAGGATGGGAGGTTTGGTAGGAGGCTTGGACGGAGGCTTGGAGGGAGGTTCGGAGGGAGGCTTGGTGGGAGGCTCGGCAGCAGGTCTGGCAGGCGTGGATTCGGGAGAGACTCAGAGGATGGTCGATCGGACGGTGGAGAAGCTCCGAGAGATGCTGATATTGCCAGCTAAGCATTTCTGGAAAACAGGTGTGTGCGTGTGTATGTGAGCGCGCCTCTACCCATGAGGCTACCCCGTTCCCCCGTTTCGCCCTTTCCTTGTTTCCAGCTTTCTCAGTTTCCCCTTTTCCCCCTTCTCCCTTTTCCCCATTTCTCTCGTTCCCCCCTCTCCCCATCCGCCTTTCCCGACACTCCCCCTGGCTATCAACACTCTGTTTCTCTGCATCCCAGTTGCGCGCACGCCCTCGCTCGTGGCCTTCCTCGATTCGTATCTCCGCTTCCGCTCGCGATGGTTCGATCTTCTCCTCTCTGCCGCTGCTGCGGCTGCTGAAACTGGTGGATCTACGAGAACAGCGGGAGGAGACGGAGTGGACGGGGGAGGGAGAGGAGGGGAGGGGAGTGTGGGGACAGGGAGGGGAGTGGTGGTGGGGGATGAGGAGCTGTGTCGGCTGGTGTTCCTGCTGCTGCTACGCATGTGAGTGTGTGTTGTATTTTTTTTGGTGCTGGTATTATGCGTGAGAACCCTAATCTCTGAACAGGGAGGGGAGTGGTGGTGGGGGATGAGGAGCTGTGTCGGCTGGTGTTCCTGCTGCTGCTGCGCATGTGAGTGTGCACGAGTGTTTCAACAAGAGGTACAGGGTGAGTATGCACCTTCATATACACTCTCCCGTGTGACCCTTGCCCCTCTTCCTGCATGTCTCTCTCCTTTCATGAGTTCCTCCTTTCTTTCTCGCTCCTATGTTCCTGCTCTCCCTTGATCTCGTTTCTTCTCCCCCGCGTGCTACTATCAGGTCGTCTAATATCGAGTCCAGAGCCAAACCATCAGAGCAGCTCCAAGCCAAGGACCATGCACGTATGTATGCCTTTCAACGCTATGCCTTGGCAACGCTATGCCTTGGCAACGCTATGCCTTTAAACTCCATAACTTGTCTGGGCGAGTCAAGTCAAGTCAAGTCAAGTCATTCCTGGAAACCAACTAATACTTCCCTCCAGCCCCCCCCGCAACCCCTCTCCTCTCGTCGCTTTTCTCACGCCTCATTTTCTCCAACCCAACCCAAGCTCTTGGACTTGGCTGCTGAATTTGGAAACGCCACCCTTCTACTCTACTCTTCTTTCCTCCTTCCCCCCCTCCCCCCACTCCTCCTCTCAGACCTACTTCTCTCCATGCGTCTGTTCGATGCCCCCAAGCTCTTGGATGTGGCTGCTGTCTTTGGGAAGGCCAACCCAGTCGCAACACGGCAGCTGGTGAGTCTGTTTGAACGTGCCGCTCGTGCCGCTCTTCACCGCATTGCACCTCTTCTTCTGCTGCTGTCTTTGGGAAGGCCAACCCAGTTGCAACACGGCAGCTGGTGAGTCGATCTCGGCACACCCCCCTGTCCCTCTTCACCGCGTTGCACCTCTTAATCACGCCCGTCACTGCACTGCACCACTTACTTAATTGTCCCCCATTACCGCAGCGCCCTTTACTTGATCACTCACCCCATTGCTTCACCTACTTTATCACCCCCACCGCACTGCACTGCACCTGCTTCCTTGGTTTCCCCGCATCACCCCATTGCACCACTTCTTCTGCTGCTCCTGCTGGTGGAGGCGGACAGTGTGGGTACAGACAGACTAAATGCATCCCGTGCTGCTCTGCACCCTTTGTCACCACATTGCACCTCTCTCCACCACCAGGTGTGCCGGGTGCTGGTCTCTCAGCCTCTCCTTCGGGCCGATCTCTCGTCGTCTCTGCTGCAGCTGCTGCGGGTGGTTGAGGAGATGGTGACACGGGCATGTGGGCAGATGGAAGAGGTATGCTTTTTGTGCTTTGATTTGGGGGGAATGGGGGGAGGGAGGGTTTTTGTGCGTCGCTACCGCAGCTGCTGCGGGTGGTTGAGGAGATGGTGACACGGGCGTGTGGTCGGATTGAGGAGGTAAGTGGATGGAGGAGGTACGGAGGGAGTAGGGGGGAGTGGGGGAATGCTGTTCTTTGGTCGTGACCACTGCTGCAGCTGCGAGTGGTTGAGGAGATGGTGACAAGGGCGTGTGGGCGGATGGAGGAGGTAAGTAGTGAGAGGATGGGAGAGGAGGGGGAGGAAAGGGGTTGTTGTTTGTTTGTCCGTTACAGCAGCAACTGCTGCGAGTGAGTATGTAGTGAGTTGGGGGGGAGGAAAGGGGAAGGGGGGGGGGGTGTTGCTTGTCCGTCCGCCATCGCTGCTGCTACAGGTGGTTGAGGAGATGGTGCAAGGGCATGAGGTGACTTTTGAGTCGACTCAAAAGAGGTGACTTTTGACTTTTGAGTCGACTCAAAAGATGTCGTGTGCCATAGTAACGAGGTGACTTTTGAGTCGACTCAAAAGTCACCTGCTACAGGTGGTTGAAGAGATGGTGCAAGGGCATGTGGGCGGATGGATCAGATTCGTCATCATCCGAAGCATCACCGACTGACTCACAACAGTATCCTTCCTCTGAGATCCTCGAGGCTCGTCACTACCTCTGTGACTTCGCCTTTTCTCTCGACTCACACACCATCTCCTTTTCCTTTTTGTCTCCCTGTTGCTTTCCCTGTTGCTCTCGCCCGCGCACGTCTGCAGCACAGCAAGGCATCATCATCACCATCTCCTTCCTCTGAGGTCCTGGAGGCCCTTGTCGGAATACTGCCTCTGCCTGCCATCTGCCCTTCCGTCCTCTGAGGTCCTGGAGGCCCTTGTCGGAATACTGCCTCTGCCTGCCATCTGCCCTTCCGTCCTCTGAGATCCTCGAAGCCCTTCACTACCTCTGTGACTTTGCCTTCTCTCTCGATGCGCTCTTTGATGCCTACCCTCCCTCTTTTTCCGCCCTCTCGTCTCCCTGTTTCCCTTCCCCATTCACTTCTGCAGCACAGCAAGGCATCATCATCACCATCTCCGTCCTCTGAGATCCTCGAAGCCCTTCACTACCTCTGTGACTTTGCCTTCTCTCTCGATGCGCTCTTTGATGCCTACCCTCCCTCTTTTTCCGCCCTCTCGTCTCCCTGTTTCCCTTCCCCATTCACTTCTGCAGCACAGCAAGGCATCATCATCACCATCTCCGTCCTCTGAGATCCTGGAGGCCCTTCACTACCTCTGTGACTTTGCCTTCTCTCTCGATGCGCTCTTTGATGCCTACCCTCTTTGCCTCCTTCTCGTCTCCCCATTGCTCTCCCCACAGCCAGCTTCTGCATCAGAGATCATCCAAGCCCTTCACTACCTCTGTGACTTTGCCTTCTCTCTCGATGCGCTCTTTGACGCATACCCGCCTGCACCGCTGCTCCTCCTGCAAGCAACCACAACGGCAACAACGAAAACAGCACCTACAAGGAAAGGAAAACACGGCGCAACAGCAGCAGCAGCAAATTCTCCTGTGCGGCTTCTCTCTGTGTTGGCTCGGATTCACGACTCCTTTCTCCCTCTGCTCCTCCTCCTCGCCTCCTCCAACCCCTTGGTATCAGCAAAGCGAACACTGATACAAGCAGCACCAAGGGTGAATTTTCAGGGGAAGATTCTTCAGACGAAGCTGGAGGAAGTTTCTTGGAAGTATCTCTGGGGCGTGTATCTTGGAGGAAAGGGGTGTGCTCGTGCTGCTGCTGTTGCTGCTGGTGGTGGTGGTGCTGGTGCTGCTGGTGGTGGTACTGGTGGTGATAATACTGCTGGTGGTGGTAGGAATAGCAGGAGCAAGGGTGGCAGGGGTCGAGGCGGCAACAGTGGTAGCAGCAGTGATGGTTTGCCACCCTGTCCTGTGTGTGATTCTGGAGTCAAGTCGGGCAGGGGAAAACAATCTGCGTGCCCGTTGTGGGACGGGTTGCTTGGGCAGAAAATGAATTTCGGGCAGTTGCTGCTGGAAGAGATTCTTGCGGTGCATGGAGTGAGCTCGGGCAGCTCGGGCAGCAAAGTTGTGGATGGTGTGGCGTGGATCCCACTGCTACGGGCAGTTGATGCTTCTTTTGGTCTTCGGTCAGCAATCTATGAAGAGAAAATGAAAGGTGGGTGAGGAAAAAAGGTGGGCTTGGGCGGTGGGTTTTAGTTTTAGTCGGTGTACATTAGAAGGTGTGATTCTATGTGGGGCTAAAGGTAGGGCTATGTTTGTTCATGAGGTGACTTTTGAGTTGACTCAAAAGTCACCTAGTATGCTTTCATTCAGCTTGACGTGTGGCTGTGCTTCCGCTGAAATAGCTCTCGGCCAACAATTTTTATTCTCTTGATTAGATTTTTACCAATTTCCCGTTCTTTTGCTTCAATTCTTTCTTTTATTTCCCCAGGCAATCTTCCCCTCGACAACACGCAGTTTGATACAATCTCCGACATAATCGGCCCTCCAATCACCGTGCCACCACCCCTCACTTCCTCCTCCTCTGACCCATCTACTACCAGCAACATCACTCCAGCCAACCACCCCCCTACAGCAGAAGACTTCCCTTCCCTCACTCCCTCCCTCATTCCCTCACTCTCGTCTGCCGCTGATGCTGAGTCAGCAGCCCTGGAGCAATCCAAAATCTCGCTCGTGCGGGATATTTTCCCGGATTTCGGGGAGGGTTTTGTGGGGGCGTGTTTGGAGGCGTATGGGGGGGATGCAGAAGCGGTGATTCAGCATGTGCTGGAGGGGAGTTTACACCCGGACTTAGCTAAGTTAGACACTCAGTTGAAGGTGAAGCCAGGGAAGGCTGGTGCGGGTGGAAAGGGGGATGCTGCTGCTGCTGGTGGTGCTGCTGCTGGTGGTGGTGGTGGTGGTGCTGTTGGTGCTGCTGCTGCTGTTAGTGCTGCTGGTAGTGGTGCTGCAAGTGGGGCAGCAGGTAAAGGAAAGGGCAAGGCAGTGGTTGCAGATGGAGGAGAGGAGGATGAGGAGGATGAGGAAGGGGGTGCAGGGGGGTGGGGAGGGGTATTGGCGCAGCAGAGGGAGGTGGAGAGGCAGCTGCGAGGAGAAGGGTCCAGTGCGGTTAAGGGGGGTGGAAGCTCGTGGGCAGGCATTGCAAGAACTACCACCACAGCTGCTGCTACAGCCCCTGCTACAGCCGCTGCTACAGCCGCTGCTACAGCTGCTGCTACAGGTGCTTCAGCTGCGTCTGCCCCTGCTGGCAGGTTCGTCCGAAGCAAGAGGGAAGATGAGTCAGTGGAAGAGGAGGTTTGGAAGCGAGGTTCGGCAGCAGGTACGGGGAGCAGGAGGGAGCAGGAGGCAGTGAAGCGGTTTGTGTTTGAGTCCCAGTTTGAGTACGACGATGAGTATGACGACTCTTTTGATGAGCTGGAAGGGTATGACATGGCAGGGGGTGCGGGGAGCAGTGAGGTAGAGGAGGTGGGGACGAGGTTTGCTGCACGCGCTGCTGCTGCTGCTGCTGCTTCTGCTGCTGGTGGTGTTGGTTCAGGGGTGCTTGGTAAAAATCAACCACCTCAGCAGCAGCAGCAGCAGCAGCAGCAGCAGCAGGGGGGGCTGGTACAGGGTCAAGGTCAGGCCCAAGGACCACAATTCTATGTGAAAGATGGCAAGAACTACAGTTACAAGGTCAAGGGCTCCGTGGCCGTCGGATCGGCGGCACAAGCGGCTGAGATGAAGCGGATCGAGGCGGTGCTGATTCACGGGCTAGGGGAAGGCGGTAACCGCGCGGCATGGGGGGGAGCAGAGGAAGAGGAAGAGGAGGAGGAGGAAGAGGAAGAGGGTGGTTCGGGAGGAGGAGGAGTAGGGCCGAGTGGTGGAGGGTGGGGGGGAGGAAGGGGAGAATTTGGGGCAGGAGGAGGGGGGAGAGGTTGGAGAGGAGGAAGAGGAGGAGGTGGGGGAGGGCGGGGAGGTGGGGGAAGGGGAAGGGGAGGGGGAAGGAGAGGGGGGAGGGGAGGGGGAAGTGGGAGAGGGTGGGGTGGGCAGGAAGGCGGTGGGAGTCGTGGTGATGGTGCTGCTGCTGGCGGTGGCGGTGGCAGTGGTGGTGGCGGTGGTGGTGGTGGGAGTCGTGGTGGTGCTGCTGCTGCTGGCGGTGGTGCTGCTGCTGCTGGCAGTGGCGGTGGCAGTGGCAGTGGCAGTGGCAGTGGTGGGGGGGGAGGAAGAGGACAACAGCCTTCTGCAGGTGGATCCAGGGGAGGTTCATCTGGTGGGTCTGGGGGAGGTTCTGTTGCCAGGCCCACAGCTGCGTCTACTGGTAGTTCTAAAAATGTGTCATCTGGTGCTGCTGTTGGTGCCGCTGCTGGTGGTGCTTCTGGCTCTGCTGCTGGCAGTTCAGGTGGTGCGGCTGACCCAGGCAAGAAAGAACGGAAACCGTCTCAAAAGGCAGGCCCAGGTTTTGGTGGGTTTCGTGGGGGTCGTTAAGGTGTTTAATGTAAGCATGGGAATGGAATGTTGTCACATGTACTGGTTATTGTAGCCATTCCTGTTGAGCCAAGGTACGGTAAGGATTTTATTTTTTTAGTCTGTCTGGAGATTTTGAAACGGTGGTAGTCTTGAATTACTACAACAGGATGTGAGGGCAAGAAAAGAAATACCGATGTACTTGCCTCTCAAGCTTGAAACCCTTAATCCTACGCTTCTATGGAATAGGCAAAACAGTTGTATGGGTAATACTTCATGATATATCTCAACGGACAAACGACTCCGCCCGGCGGAGCTCGCTGCCCGCGGGAAAAAAAAATGAAACCCATTCGGGCATGCATCAGGTCAGGGAGGCATCAACCCTAAACTCCTTGTCGCATGTGTTTAGGGTTGATGCCTTCCTCGGATGGCATGCCATGCCATCCGAAGGGTTTTTTTTTGTGTTTTTTTTTTGCCCGCCGGTCAGGTCGACGGTGGTCGACGCTCCGTCGACCGACCGTCGACCTAGTTCCGTTGAGGCACAGCGTCGACCGACCGTCGACCTAGTTCCGTTGAGGCATTCCTTTGTGAAGGTGACAGAAGGCTTGATTGAGCATGCACTTGAAATGAAGAGCGGTCGTATACACATGGTGCTCAACTGCTGCCCGCGAAATTTGCAAGTATGGGGGACTCAAAGACATCAGCTGTAACAAGGATGGTATACACACGATGCTCAACCCCTGCGCGCGAATTTGCTCTGCATTTTATAGAAAGTCTGCACCCGTGTTTTTTGGACCGGCCAGTTGCACAAGCCTTACAAGCCCCCCGAGCAAGTTGCAGTGATTATGAACAAATGGTAACGAAGAAACCGAAGTCAAACTGAAGAGACCGAAGTCAAAGTGTCACGTATAAGTTACAATGTTTTTATAAGCCCTTTTTGCTAGCTACGAATTAACGAGACCTATGCGAAATGAAAGAATCACTTAAACGAGCAACAGGTGTAGTCTGGAAAGCTCAACCGCAGACAATTGTTTCAGAACTCGGACTCGTCAAAGTCAGCACTGACCTTTGATGAACTCACACTTACGCCGTTGAAAGTGGGTTGTGAGGTCACACTTACTCACACTGGGGACTTTGTAAGACAACGTTGATTTGAAGGGATTCAGACCTTGATCGTCGTTGAAACGATTGATTTCAGACGTTTTGACGTAGTCAACGTTGACTAACCGTTTAAATGTTGATTGACTGTCGACGAGTTGTATCGTTCGTTGCTACACAAGATTTGTAGTTCGGCAAGGACAGAGCAGACTGCTCTTTCCCTGCAAACGAGGGTGTTTGGGAAAGTCCGGCCAGTGTCAGTGTTGTTTTCTGTTCCCGGGTGGATCCGAGCTCTACGTTTCGCAACCGGCTTTTGAAGCGCTTTCGAGCTGGGAACTTCGCCTGGTTTCTCCATCTTTTAGCACTGTTCGCACAATTCGGCCAGAACCAAAAAACGATTTGGCTATAATTCGTTGCCACAAAGTTCTACGTTACGAAAAGTACAGTACCCTGATTTGTACGAGAGAGACAAAATGAGAAGAGAACCCTGGACTAGTGGCGAGTGAGTCTGTTGCAATTTTGTCTGCTGCTGCCCCTGCCCGACTCTTCAAGTGGAGTGCGTCGCAGATAAAATTGCACTTCCGGAAGCAAGAATCTCGAGGCCTCCTACTATAGAATTGAGGAGTGAATTCCCATTCAGACTGCTGCTGGTACAGTACATCATGAAACAACTAAAACTGCATTGTACAAAACATTTCTTGATGTTCACGACTCTCGCATTTTCAAGTGCAAATCATATTCAGGACTTTGTCGGACGGCAATCGCGGTTTCACCAGGCAGGTGCTTGTGAACCACATCGGAGTTAGATGCCCAAATCGAAGTACGTTTACGGGTGTAAGACCTGTTGCACTGCCTTTCCTAGGTTGCGCGGTCCCATCAGTATCCTGCTCGTGGACAGTTGCCTCAGTCCGACTGTTGGGCTTCAGGGTGTACAAGTGTACTGTATTTCTCGTTTCAGACCAGCGTTGTTATCGGACCTGCAACGGCTACAATATATTGGCTCGGCATGGTAAGGCATTTGGCAGACCGACACTGTTGTTGTGTGGCGGCGAATCAGCAAAAATCTTCAGATTGGAGCAGTTTTGGGGAAGTCCACACCACTCCCTTCCGCACCTCAACGAACCGCAAATCACCACGCCACACCACACCACTACTTTCCGCACCCTCCTGCATACCCCACTGGGACTAACCACGCGGAGAGTAGCGTTTCCGAACGTCGCAAGCTTTGCGCAACCCCTCCCAAATCAATCCAAATCCGAACCTCCTCCAAAATTGAACCTGGTTCCAGCCAATCAAACTCCATCCAAACCAGACCCACGTAACCATGTTCTCCATGTCACATGAGTTCGCATTGGCTCGAAACCCCGCCCAAATGCAAGAAGTGAAATTGAGCCGCTCTGACACAGGCCAAGTGGAATGTGTCACAACTGGCAATCCACATCACCAAAAAGGCGCTGTCACAGAACTGACCCCAGATACCCTGTCCCGTCAATGGCTCATTTGTAACCCTAATCGGTCCCAAAAGTATCTTCGGGGACAGTTCGTGCGATCGAACTGTTTGGGGTCACATGTAAGTCTCTCCCGAAACTAACTCTGTACTGGATCTATCACAGATCTGATCGAGTCGAGATTCGATTCTCGAGTCTGGCTGTCACTAAACCAAGCCTTTTGGGTTGCGTAGCAACCTTATACATTTGGTTTCACTTTTTGGGGAACTGACCGTGAACAGTGATTTTTCCCTGCCCGTTTGGGGAAAAATTACTGTTCAACTTTTTAGTTGCCCCAAAAATGTGAAACCAAATGTAACCAATAATTCCATAGTCGTCGATAAGTACGGCGAATGGAACAATTGGTTGGACACGAACGTGTACAAAAACCACATGCTGAAATCATGAACCTTTCGAGGCAAAGACTAAATGCATCAATGCTGCAACTGAGATTGATATGGTACGGAAAAGGCGAGCAAAGCTGCCCCACCGACGATGACAACCCCTGTTGCATACATGATGCATTCGGCACCACCCCAAAACAGACCCAAACGACAACACACGAACTTGTACAAGAACGAGAAACACCAGTTGTGAGTGCTTCGAAGCTAATGCTAGAATGCATCGTTAATGCAACTGCGATTGATCTGGTATGGAAGAGGCAACCAAAGCTGCCCCACCAACGATCACAACCGCAATTGTATACACGAGGCACTTAGCACTCACCCCGAAACAGAGCCACACAACATGTACGCACACACATACGCAGAGAGAAAAACACGCAGAAACATACAGCTAATACTAAGCATGCAAGCATAGCCAATGAAGTTCACCAATTAATAAACCATCGCTACACCCCTCCGTCCCTCCTTCCCTCATCTCCCTCCCACTCCCTCCCTCATCTCCCTTCTCAACTCACGCGCCCTGCACAAAGCGAAAACAGAGAAGTTCACACACACGGCCTGCACACAGCAAAAAACAGAGAAGCAAACACACACACGGCCTGCACACAGCAAAAACAGAGAAGCAAACACACACACGGCCTGCACACAGCAAAAACAGAGAAGCAAACACACACACGGCCTGCACACAGCATAAACAGAGAAGCAAACACACACACGGCCTGCACACAGCAAAAACAGAGAAGCAAACACACACACGGCCTGCACACAGCAAAAACAGAGAAGCAAACACACACACGGCCTGCACACAGCAAAAACAGAGAAGCAAACACACACACGGCATGCACACAGCAAAAACAGAGAAGCAAACACACACACGGCATGCACACAGCAAAAACAGAGAAGCAAACACCTTAGAAGCCGACACACTAAACACTAGTGCAGAAAGCGACACTCGTTTGCATAAGTAGTCCCAGCAGCCCAAGCACCAGCAGAATAGATGCTAGTGCATATGCCCCAGCGTGCTCATAAAGCTCTCTCGTGCGTTCTCTCACGCACTCTCTCACGCACTCTCTCACGCACTCTCACGCACTCTCTCACGCGCTCACTCACACACTCTCTCACGCAATCTCTCACGCGCTCTCTCACCTGCTCTTTCAGGGCTCTCTCGCGTGCTCTCACACGCTCTCACGCACTCCCTCACGCGCTCTCTCACACTTTCTCTCACGCGCTCTCTCACGTGCTCTCTCACGCCCTCTCTCACGTGCGCTCTCACGCACGCTTTCACGCGTCTCTCACGCGCTCTCTCACGCGCTCTCTCCACGCTCTCTCACGCGCTCTCTCACGCGCACTCTCACGCGCACTCTCACGCGCTCTCTCATGTGCTCTCTCACGCATTCTCTAACGCGCTCTCTCACGCGTTCTCTCACGCGCTCTCTCACGCGCTCTCTCACGCACGCTTCCACGCACGCTTTCACGCGTTTCTCACGCACTCTCTCATGCGCTCTCTCACGCGCTCTATCAGACGCACTCTCACGCGCTCTATCAGACGCACTCTCACGCGCTCTATCAGACGCACTCTCACGCGCTCTCTCACGCGCTCTCTCACGCGCTCTCTCACGCGCCCTCTCATGCTCTTTCTCATGCTCTCTCTCAGGCGCTCCCTCTCGTGCTCTCTCACGCTCTCTCTCACGCGCTCTCTCACGCACTCTCACGCGCTCTCTCACGCCCTCTCTCACGTGCGCTCTCGCGCGCGCTTTTATGCGCTCTCTCGAGCGCTCTCTCACGCGTCTCTCACGCGCTCTCTCACGCACTCTCTCACGCGCTCTCTCACGCGCTCTCTCACGCGCTCCCTCACGCGCTCTCTCACGCGCTCTCTCACGCGCTCCGTCACGCGCTCTCTCACGCGCTCTCTCACGCGCACTCTCACGCAATCTCTCACGCGTCTCACTCGCTCTCTCACGCGCTCTCTCTCACGCGCTCTCTCTCACGCGCTCTCTCTCACGCGCTCTCTCTCACGCGCTCTCTCTCACGC